GCAATCATCGTTGAGGCGACGGTACGATGTGTCTTTTACAGAAAGGTGCTTACCCTTCCAACTTTATAGCCCTTTTCGCACGAAGGACTTCCCTCTTCGGGGGAATCACAGATCGCGTCAGGTTCGAGGGGAGACCGGCAGCTCCCTTTGCCTTACGTAAGATACGGGACGTATAAATAGAAGGAGTTGCGAGTCCTTTTATTTGTATCAATGTCAGCGTCCGATAAGCGGACGCATATACTTCAAGATGGCAATCAGCATTTTTTTTAAATTATTAGTTATTTGACAAATCTATGTTTTCTCAAAAATTTTTTGCATTACTCTGCAATGCAATATTTTTTAATAAGAAAATCATTATTAAGGACTACGTTTTCTATCGTATTAGTATGCGTAATCATATGTGGTAATAGAACCAAACGATAATTGATAATTAACTTGTTTAAGGCAACTTTTTTATACTCGAACATGTCCGTCAAGGCTGTCGGCTGCCTATCATTAAATTTTATTTTGCTATGTTTTCATATTTAAATGTAGGGATCACGCACTACTTGGAAATTACGTATGATCGCGCACGCATGACGCAACGGAATTGATAACACGCATCCTGCACTTGCATTTCGATAAAAGATACCTTCGGATAAATCCACTTGACTCGCACTCCATTAGAATCGTGCCACAAGCCAGATCTCCAAGACCACGAGATTGACCGCGTTTCGCACCGATACTTTCAAAGCTTTTTTCGTCATCGCCCCGTCTTTGACGCGCTCTCTTTCTCCCATGATCAATCTTTAGCCGCGCGACGGAAAATATCGGCCACGGTCCTTGGCGTTGAAAGTAAGCGAACTGGGAAAATAAGAGAGGCTCACAATTAGAGCGACGGGAAGGGAGAGAGAAAGTTTATAATTTTTTTAAAGTCTACCTTGAACATAAAATGTAATTGGGCTCCTTTATATATTATACTTATTATAATTAACTTGTGAGATGCTTTTAAATGCATAGAAGTTAGTAAAATAAAAATGCATAATTACAAATTATACAATCTACTTTAAAGATAAAATTGGATAAAACATTATCAAATAAAAATAGACTTTATAAATAAATATAAGATACAACTACACACAGAGAGAAAGAGAGAAATTAAATTTAAGCGTGTCTCGAAAACAGTCTAGCCATCGTGTCTAGCCGGTGTCTCTAGTAACGATGATAAAGCTACAGGATTAGTTTCAGCTGTTCTACCTTCTAAATGAGACACAACGCATGCTACATGCGTGTGTGCGCGCGTAAGAACAAACACTCACACGTTCGACAATAAACACTTCGCCTTCGAGGAGTAAAGACCTGGTTAGGAAGTGAACTCGACGTACTCGGTAGAGGTGACCGAGTGCAATCAAGTGTATCGGGAGTCGCTGGAGCAGATAACGTATTTACAGGTCAAAGTGATTGGCGGATGCGTCGGTGTACGTGCGACACATCCTTCTCCGTGCCGTATAAAATGCACACACAGCCGAGATAGAAACGGTCCTTGTACGCGTTCGGGATACAACAACGGCGATTGTGTCTCCTAGCTTTTGTCGATGTGTGTGTGTGTCAGGTTGTGCGAGGGTGTTCGCGCTGCATCAAAGCTATATACGAGCCTCGTAACGAGTTTTCGTCACGTTTCGATGCTGTACGGTCTAGCATTTAGCGAACTACTTGTACGGAGACATGCGTTATGGGAAACCTCGCAGATTGCGGATCGTGGACGCGCGAAATTGGCGAGTCGGTCCCATTCTATTCCGATGAAATTGGAAAGAGATAATGGATTTGTTAAAGTGAAGAATGAATCTCGGTGACAAAGTTTGGCCGAAGATTGAAGAACTTATTTTCAACTCAAAATTAAAACAAAAGTAGAGAGATTACATGTACTTATGAACTTATAACGATATGCGATGTCATGGTGCATAATTTTCCTTTTTCTCAAAAATAGTTTGAAAATAAGTTTTGCAATTAGACGGCAAAAATTTGAAAAATATGAAATTTTACTCTAACAAATTTGGAAAATTTTAAGAATTTTATAATCTTGATATTAATAACGAGACTACATATGACGATTTATATACGAATATATGAAAATATTTCAAGAATGATGCATTGCGGTATCCACCCTCGCGAATTGCATTCTGTCTTGGCAGAAACATGCTTACTTTCTAGTACGGGCTCGCGCTTAGTGGCTTTAATTGCCGTGGTCTGACATCTTGGCAGTAATACGCTTAATTAAAGTCAAAGACAAAGGTTGACCAAAGTTCATTGGAGACCAGCTCGCGCGCGAGATCGACGTCGAGGAATCGTGCGCGGATCTTGAGGCGTCAAGGAAACAATCAACAAGTAAATACTGAGAGACAGTAAATACAAAGATACACGGGCAGCAGACATTAAAAAGGTCATTTAAGAATTTTTTATTGATTATTTACATCAAAAGCATTTCGTCAAAATTTATGATCCAGAGTTGAATCACGAATCAATTAAATTGTGAGCTAAATTTTCCACGCAGTAAACACAGTGAGGCAAATGTTTCTGTAATTTGCTGCGGTTTCATGACAAATCAGTGTGGAGATCATTTTCGTGCGTGTGTATCGTCGAAATCTAAGCTCGTCAAAATGATACGTCGATTACCGCGAACTCGAATCCCTTGCTTTGATATCGCAGAGATGTAGGTATCCTTGACAAATCGCATCGCGCACTAGTCCCTCGAGAGAAATGAATACGGAGTGAGAAACAAGCAGTTTTCTCCTGGCGAAGAAAGCACGTACTGATGGAAATGCTTTTGGAGGGGCCGAACCCTCGATTTCTATCAACGAGCTTTTAAATCTCGGACAAAAGGCGCGGAGAGATTTACGGAACTGCGCTGTCCCACGCCAAAGCCTAATAACTAGGTCAGGGGAGGTTTCGCTTCGCCTATATGTGTGCGCGCTTTGCGGCTTTCTGTATAATACTTTTTCGGTCCTAGAGATGTTTTGGAGCATCGCCAAAAGTTCGATCGGCTCGGTCTGCCGTTAGTGGTCGACCCACTATTTCGAATGTTAACTTGTTGCCAGTGTACACCCGTACGACCCAATTAATTCATGCTGCATCTAATTAGTATATTATAACGGTACTGGGAACTGTAAACACATTATAATGATGCTATAAACAATATGCGTGCCTCTCCCATGGGATTGCGCGCCACCATTTTACGAAATATCTGGATCGAAGATGCCTCGATATCGGCTCGTTGTTATTGTAAATATTGTTTGGCCTTTGCTAACAAACTTTGGGAAAGAACGTTTACCACAAGCTACTTTGGAGAACGGGTAAAAGTTAGGAAAATTAAACACGGTCGGCGTATATCGCGGAAAGGAAGGGAAACTGTGGAAAAAAAACTCAAGAGGTATTCTTGGAAAAGATACGCTTATAAAAGATAATGAAGTTAGTTTCTCTCATGCGTATACGAGCTCTTCATTTTCTCTCGGTTTACCCAGCTTATGTTCATTTTTCTTAAAATGTAATCTTGCTCGATATTATGTATATTCCGTAAAGGTCAAGAAAGAGGAAGCGTATCATATAGAAAGATCGGAAAATTTTATTATTCTGTTTGTGCAACAACCTTGAAGAAATTGTCGCATCTTTAGAAATTACATTTGAATTTTCTCTTTTGCCGCATTGGACTCGTGCGGTTCACTCAAAGAGAGATAATGAATTCTCAAGTGACATTTTAATGAATTATTAATTCACGATCTGCTCGATCAGAATTATAACACAAAGATATTTAAGCTCATCACCATATCTATCATATTAAATATTTATGAAATGTTTATTAGTCAATAAAATTTACATTTTTATTTTTTTAAGATAATATAAGTAAGTAAAATATGATCAGAGTATTTAAATGCATCGAAATGTATTAAATAACAAATAATTGACAAATGGAATAAATCAAACAAAATTTTTTAAAAGAAAACAGTTGAAAGCTTAGACATGATATACAGTTTTCAAAGTTCTTTTCAGATTTTTTTTTTTTAAATAAAAGAGCAAAAATCTATTATATCATATGTGTTGTATGATATTACGTATAGTATTATCTGTTTTCGAAGTAACTTTATTAACCACTATATAGGACGAAAGTCCGAGAGTAGTTTTCATTATACAGACCCATTCATAAAGGTAAAATCAATGACGGATTGGCGCAAAGAACCGTCGGTTGGTTGCTGCTCGTCGCCATGAAACCATTGCCGACCAATCGGGATGCCGTCGTACCATCCACGTTTTCCCTCTTGCTCTGTCTTTTGTCGCACAATGCTGCGATGAACAACGCGTTTCACCCAAGCAACACAACGAGAGAGTAGCGTGACTTTGTTAGACATACCAATACCAATACCGCTTTCTCGTGAAACAATTAACTATACCATTTCCGTTTCCGGATATCAGAATTTTTTACGATAACAGATCTTTCATTACTTTTAAAAAGCAGTAGCGAGCTTCCATATTTCGCTATTCTAATGAAGAAAAAAATTTATTTTACAGAGAGTGCACGGAACAGAGTTGAATTTAAAATATAAGAGCCAAATGAAAATTTATGAAAATAAAAAATTTAAGCGAAAAAAAGTGAACTTTTTAAATTATATTTAGGTATTAAAGGATTAACTACATGTAGATTCTTTTACTATTGAAATTTTTATGTCAAAGAGTTTTTATTATTATTATTATTATTATTATAATCTGTTGAAGATAATTCTCGCTTTTGATCAAACATTTTTTAAGGACAAGTCGACTTCAAAGAACCCATTTCCTAAAATAATTTTATATGCTGATACACCTTTTATTTAAAAATTATTAATCATGAATTTTGCTATACTTTGCGTGAATTGTACATGAAAAGCATTAGTCATAAAAGCTGAGTCGTCCTGAAAAAGGTGTGTCAGTAAAATCAACCCATTACGTGTGACGTTCACGGCCTTTAAATAGACATTACACATTGTTTTCAGATCCGTCTCACTGAGAGCAAATCGAAGCAAAACGTGGCGGATTCGGTGACCCTTCGACTGTGACCAGGAGCACAGGCAGTAGATAGGGCAAGGAAATGCGTGAATATAAAATAGTTGTGCTGGGCAGTGGAGGTGTAGGCAAGTCCGCCCTCACTGTCCAGTTTGTGCAAGAAATCTTTGTAGAGAAGTACGACCCGACGATCGAGGACAGTTACCGCAAGCAAGTCGAGGTCGACGGTCAACAATGTATGTTAGAAATTTTAGACACAGCTGGCACAGTAAGTATCCCGTGTTTTACCCATTTTACATGTATCTTGATGTTTTGTATAAATTACATTGTTCTAATTTGTTTGTAGGAACAATTCACAGCCATGAGGGACCTTTATATGAAAAATGGGCAGGGTTTTGTGTTAGTATATTCGATAACAGCACAATCAACCTTCAACGATCTGCAAGATCTCAGAGAACAAATCCTGCGAGTAAAAGACACAGATGATGTGCCGATGGTACTAGTAGGTAACAAGTGCGACCTGGAGGATGAGAGGGTAGTGGGAAAGGATCAGGGTGTCAACCTTGCCCGGCAATTTAATTGCGTGTTTATGGAGACCTCTGCCAAAGCTAAAATTAATGTTCGCGATGTAAGTTGGTCATTAATCAGTTTATTCTTGTTGTAATTAAATATTATTTTATTGCTCAATATTTTCTATGAAAATAACTAGCTCGTAAACCTTTATACAATGTTTACAATGTTACAATGTTACAATTAAGTTAAGTTTTAGCAATTTTTACAACTGATAGTATTAACCAAATATTATCCATGCCCAGATTTTTTACGACCTGGTGCGGCAAATAAACAAGAAGTCGCCAGAGAAGAAGATGAAGCAAAAAAAGAAATCGCTGTGCCTACTTTTGTAAGGTAGATATGGCGGAGCCCATACTCTCCTACATGAAAATCCGAAGATACCAGTGGATAAAAAAAAATACACACAAGATCAGAGCGGTTAAATAAAACAAAAAAGATACTAATGACAAAAAAGGAGAAGGGGGCTGACGGAATACTAGGCGACGGGGTAGAGAACGGGAGTTAGAAATATACGGAAATCCGGATGGTTGTAAAATGACGGTAGAAAGATGGGATAAATGAGGGTACAAGGGCACAAGGTAATGCAGCAGAGTAAAGAACGAAGGAACACATGGAAAGAAACACAGCGATAAGCGAAGGAAATATTGTATATACGTTGGTTTCGGGGTGGCTCGTGTACACGCGCAACGGCGCACAAAGTAGGATACGAGATCCCCGCGGCATCGGTTATCACTGTAGGAGTTTTGCATGAATAAATGAAGAAAAAAAAATGATTAACTAATATTATATATTTAGAAGAAAAGGAAGAGAGATTAAAAAGAAAAGAAATATTCGGACGTACGTGTGCGCAGACCACCAGCCCCCATGGATCGCTCGCCGCGCACCTCTCTCTCTTATATAATATAATAATTATACATAGATGGTACATGAACATGATTATTACTATTATTATTAATATTAATTATTATTGAATCATCAAAATATTCATAAGTTATCAAACTGTTTGTTTCTCAAACAAAGTATGTTTTTCTATATCTCTCCGTATTAAGGCAAATAATAAAAAAATCAGTGAATGTTAAAAAAAAAAAAGGGCCCAAGTTTCCTACTCTCGTAAACGCAACCTGGATTTTATTTCATTCCGAGCCCCCTTTGTCTCATTTGTCAATTGTGTTCTGCCGCTCACGCGTCTGTAGATAACTCTTGGATCTTTTCTTTGTTTCGTATCATCATCCACGCCGAGTATAACATGTAAGATAATGAGAACAGAATAAAATAATTTTGTGATATATGCAATGTAATTGAGATGTCAAATGCGGACGTAGGAAAATTCAGCATAACTACCGTATTGCAATAAATCTGTACGAGTGCGAGAACATTCTCAATCAGATGCGTACAGCGTTACGAAATATAGTTACAGCGAATGCAGAACCTATTCACATGTGAAAATGCAGACTCGCAAAGTATCTATGATATAATGTATAACAGACTGTTATTGTATTTGCTTCGGAAAGTAGTGTAGAGAATGGGAAGAGGAGATCTTGTTATAAAATTGGAAAATCTGACGACAATTCGTCTTCTTTTTCGACGGTATTGGTCTATTAAAAAAATACAGAGAGCGCAGCAACACGTTTCTTAATTCAGTATCTAATATTTCACGCCGTAATCGTAGCTAGAACCAAAAATTGTGTAACGCCACCGTGGCCACTACGCCGCCGAGGTACACGCTGCGGGAAAATATCCTCCATGTCGTCGCCGTGCTCGTGATGTTGCAACAGTTATTTGTCGCCTCGTCTATGATCTGCGGGAAATACTCGTTCCAGAACGCGAGTGCTTTGTAATCCACCGTGTCCGGTTCGTTCATACTGGGAGCCTTGTCGATAATCAGCATCCGCGGATTATCCTGCATGAAGGCCTCCCACTTGACCTGCGACGCAGAGGGATCGCCGGACCTGGCGAACGTAGCCAGCATCGCCATTATCGTCTCGCACATCCTCTTATCGTTCGGGTGCCATTGCGTTATGCCCGACAGAAACGGTAAACCCCAAACGAAGGGAAGTTCAAACATGTGCGGCACACCTGCCCAATCCGGCACGTCGACCGTGATGGATGGTGTCTTGGGACGATAGTCGAATCGGTAAACGAAAGCCGCCGTGGATTTGCGCCTCGCCACTCCGCTGGCCAGTAGCGTGAGACCAGCCGCATAATTTTTTTCCGTCTGCAAATCCAAGTAACGATCGCGAAACACCGTCGCGTTTTTCGTGGGCGGATACGGTTTATAGAAGAACAGCACTGCGTTCGTCACCATTTCGGGCTTTATCATGCAGGTGGAATTGTCGTCCAGCACCATCGATGAAAATTCGTCCGTAATCATCGTCTCGAAGTTCGCCGGGGACAGTTTGCCTTCTGGATTTTGTTCGCCGAGGGCTTCCATGTACGCCAAAACTTGCTCATTGTTCGTATAGCCAGTAATCAGCGGCATCGCGTTGAAACTACCTGATTTATGATAAAAGTTCAAGATTTATAAATTGTTAAACAATACAGATGAAATGACAAAAACTATTTAAGAGAATCGATAACTTCTTAAAGAATGGATTATATTTAAGAAATATTTCATAAAAGAAAAACGTTTTTTAAATGTGTTTTAACATGTTAGTTTTTAGAATTAATTTTTACAGACACCCGTGTTGTTAGCAACACTCGTCAAATTGCTTTGATAATTACCGCTTTCCAAGATATCCCTCGGATGCTGCGGGAGGAAGGGATCCGTCTCGTTGTTCGTTTCGGCGTCGACGATCGGACCCCAGGTTTCTATACTAGACGAGTGCTTAATCAAGAAATCGCTGCTCAGCCGGCGCAAACATTTCACCAACGCGCTGGTCGGTCGTCGATAGCAACCGAATGTCTCGGCTATCATATCGACGACCGACAGTTCCTTTTCGGGCGAGCCGACGGATCCGATGGCGTCACCGCTCATCGCGATCGCTTTGTGGAATTTTCCCTTGCTGAGCGGACTCAGCATATGCAGACCTACGCTTATAGCGCCGGAACTGTGGCCGTAGATGATGATGTTGTCGTGCGCGCCATTGAAGTTCCTGATGTTACGTTTTATCCAGTCGAGGGCGGCGATCTGGTCGAACATGCCGTAATTGCCGGGCGCTTCGGAGTCCGTCGTCGTGAAGAATCCGAAGATGTTTAATCGATATGCCACCGTCACCACTAGCACCTGCCGACCGCAAAAGTCGTTCCAATTTCGCGGACTTTAAACTATCGTTTTTTTTTTAATGTGCGCGATAAAATCTCCCGAGAAATTGTTTCACCGCTGGAAAGTTTCGATATTTATTTTCGTTTCGTGCCCGCGTAAACGATCAATTCGCTTCGTCGTAAATCGCTTCTCGAGTTGCTAACGATACTGTATTATGTACACTGCGTCGGGGATGTGTAACGAAAGTTCCATTAATGATGCATCGCGGCCGAATATCAAAAGGTGGGATTCTATTTCAGAAGGGACGGCACGCGAATGAGTTAAGGGAAAGGAAAAGGCCCGGCTCGATTTCCTTCGATTTTCTGTCCATTTGCGGGATTGATTGAGCACCGCGTGTTTGTTAAAAATAAATGTTAATCACGATATACCGCGATTATATCGATATTGATCGGCTCGCCGACTAGGTCACGTTAATTTCAACCTCGTATTTACGATCTGCGCCGGAACCGCCGACCGTTTCCGGTAGTTCCGCAAATATTTGTTCGTGTAATAACGCGCGTTTGCTGTATCGAACCTTTTGTTTGGAGACGAATATCGAAGCATCCCAAATCGCTGGTGTTCCAGTGTTAAAATCGCCTCCGTGGAACCAAACCATCACCGGCCATTGCTCATCCGAACGGCCTCCTACGCACATAAATTACTTGTTAGAAATGGTCAGAAAAATATCATTTAACTTCGGATTGCAGCGTTTCTTTTGAAAAACGGAATATATAAAAACCTTGGATAATATTTTGCCGAAGTTACCGCCCTAAAGATAGGCTAGAAATTGATGAAGCGATGCAAATTTTTATATTATGGTTCTATCTATAATACAGAAGAAAATTTATGTAAAGTCACCGCCTGCACAGTCCCTTACACATTCACGATTCTATTTCCAGCCCAACGAACTTGCTACGCGATAACGGGTACCGGTACGAGATTCCCCCCTGCGGTTTCCTGAACACGGACGTCTCCCGTCCGGTATTATCGTCCCGCCGAACGTGTCGTTTCTTAACAGCGACCTTGGCACGCTTACATAGAGGTACTTTCGGTGTTCTCGCATTTTACTGTCATCGGGGGTGTACCTCAAGTACACGCCAATGTCGCATCGGCGGCGCGATCTTCTTGCTGTATCGGGAAAGAGCGCGGCGCCGCCGCTCTTCGAATGAATCATATGTCACATGATTCGGTACTTTCCCGTTGATGACCGAACGAGAGGCGAGAAGCGGAGGAGAAAGGGTGGAAGCGAGAAGGAGAGCTTTCGTGACCGGCTTTCTCATATCTCGGCATCTTAGATCGGGCTTCTGAAAGATCGCGTGCTTTACTACGCGCGCCAGTTACTGTTCTCTACTACTCTTACTAGCCGCGTGTATATCGACCAACTCGGTCGTCGTCGTACGTGGCTTTCGTGCCATTTGGCGCAATTTTGCGACTCCAATTCGTCCCCCTTCTTTTTTTCTCCCGAGCGAAAGGGAGACGGTATTTAACGGTCGCCAACGGCGGCTAAAGTATGCCGCTGCATTCGGCATCCCTGAATTCTCACCCCTTTCACCTTTCGTTTCGCGCACTCGAGCCGAGTGTTTCAAAGCTGCATCTATATATTTCTCATTAGTGTTTTATTAAATTTGTATTAGGGTAGGGTCGCAAACAGAGAAATAACGACACGCAATGAGAAAATAATGCATGTAAGGGTGAAAGTTTTGCTTGATACATCTAAAATTTTAACATAAATTATTTCACATATATTTATATATGCAATTTTGCTTTTTGTAGATTTTATCATTAATGGTACATTTTTATCGATTGTATAGTTTTGCATATTGTTCTTGATTTTTAAAATAACGCGAATAATAAGAAGAATGTAGAAAGCAATTGCACTAAAATCGATAAATATGATTAAAAGCAACTGTACCAAAGAAAATTGACGAATATGGTCACAGTGCGAACAATTCTTGAAAGAAGAAACGCTTCAAGCTAATCACATCTTCAGGACGTCCACCTTCTTTCATGCTTCTTATGTTTTGTAGCGTGATAAATCTTTTCTGCACGCTATTACCCACCGCACGGCATAGACGTTATTAATTTCCTGCTTTGGTCCACTTTTATCTGATTATGGCGGTGCCATTCTTAACCCCTGCACGTACCGTAATCATCCCCTCTTTCTCATGTGATAGAAATCAGTCTCCGAGAACTTGAGCGCGAGCATTATCTCGCACTTCGTCGGGAACGAACTTCGCCGTTGACCGTCGTTTCTTCGTCATATTGCGTGTTTTAGCATTCTCAAAGATTATGTAGGAAAGTAGTAGGCAGTATCAAGGACTGTCATCAACGGCGAATCAAATCTCCGCCATCTCCCTGTTGATTACGTTTATAATACCAAAAAAGGTTTACCTCGTAACAATCGTGATTAGCTATATGCCTGGTTCGATCTTTTCTGATAACAATGAGTTTATGACAAGAGGTTTTTGAATTATATTTTATCGACTTGCTTAATATTAAAAGTTAGTGCTGCTTTTTACATAAATTTAATTAATAACCCCTCACTTTTTATTTCCAAATATTTTAGAAGAATAAATCAAAATGAAATTTTTGATTCCTTTATTAGTTTCCAAATTAAAAATAATTGTAGTATTTCTCACAAATTATAATACAGTTTGCGCGCGTTATTATAATAGATATTTTTAAATTCGTATTTCGAAAGATTGAATACAGCAGTTTGGAGGCAAGCTCTTTCGCTTTGAGGAATTGAAACATTTTACATATAATTACCGTCTACTATCATTCGACGTAGACGAATAAACGTACGTACCGTCAGGAACGAAGATATTCAAGTAGAGACAGTCCTCACTGAATCCCGGATCAGACATGTCCGGTGGTAGCAATCGTTTGTAGAGTTTTTCGTGCAGCTTGAGCCGGCCCGAGACCTGCTGACATGATGGTGCGTACTGTGTTCCATTTCTCACGTCATTCCAAGATGGAAGAGGATCTGTCACCGGTCGTGCAAATCGGAGATCCCCAAGCGGAGGTTGTGCGTAAGGAATGCCGAGATACTGCGTTGCTCTCATATTAGTACCCGGTATGGATACCTAGATTTTAGAAGTACACACAGTAACGAAACAGATATTTGCATAATTAACGATCGGTTTGGAATTAAAGTGACTAAAAATCTTACATTGACGGTCAAAGATCTTAATTTTATACGTAATTTAATTTATTGTTTATTTCTTCCCACAAATGGTATTAGAGATAAATAACGAATTAAAATTATAATTTTGTTTAAATTAGAAAGAAAAAGAAACAGCAGAGTAATGAAGTTAAGACTCAAATTATGTTGATAAAAATTAATCATTTATTGATTAGTGTTAATGATAATTAAGTCTTAATGAATCATGAAGAAAAAAATAAACAGTAAAAATTAGGAACTTTAAGGCTCGCATTAACGGATAATTAAAATTAAGTGCTTATTCACGAATAAGCTGAAAGCTTTAAAAATTTACGTCTTCTGTCAACTTTAATAGCACAAAAACGCCTTAGTAAATTGATGTAAGAATTCAAACCGACAGAATAAATAAAATACGATCGCACCTCTTTGCCGAGGATGGTTCCTTGACCCGGTATCTTTACGGTCGGATTGTCGCGGTTAGCACCCTGTCGCGCGTAGGATTTCTGAGCGCGGATAACGCGGGTCCTCTGAACGAGGAGCAGGCTCGACGCGAGAAGCAGCCACGTCGCGCACCTCATTTTGCTGACTAACTGATTCGCCACGTACGGGAACGTACCGCGGCTTCGTTCTTCGAACCACCTCCGTTTCACGGGGGTTGGCTTCGCGTGACTCCCTGCGTTTCACCTTACTCTACAACCACCCGCCGTTCGCCGCCCACCCTTCGCGAATTCGCTTTCTTGGTTCGCGGTCGACACGTTCGGCCATAAGAGACCTGCGCTCTTTGATCCTTGTGCTTTTACGCTCGATGAAAAACTCGCGATTCCTCTTCGCGGTGTGTATGTGTAAAGGAAGGTCAATCATAATTATGACGCTCGAGTAATTTTCGCAATGCCAGCGACGATTAAATTAATTAGAGCTTAATTAAGAACTAAGAGTAATAAGAGTAGTTATGTAAGTCCATTATAAAATCGAGAAGCAATATTATAGAGCTGTATACAGTAATAATTATTTAAAATTGTTACATTTAAAGGTAGATTATATTTTTACTCAGAGAAAAGAAAGATTTTACGTGCCACGACAATCTTTTTACAGTGTATAGCGTAGCAGAGGCAGCATCGATGTCTCCCAGTTCGTAACCGTTCTAAAGTCGCATAATTTGTCAATAAGAACCGCAGTGAGCTGATCGATCGAAAAACGCACGGATGCAATAAGAATCTATTTACATAGTCTACCGATGGACACGGATACACTTGGCCGCGAATCGGGGAATTAATTTGCATAAAAGTATTAATCGTGATGCAAATATACTCTGACACGTGTAACTTGTACCAAGCCGAATGGCACCTTCGTGTTATTACATGAAGCATGAAAATCGTATCGTAACGATTGACCTAAAATCGACTTAATGGCAGAATTTTAAACTGCGGATGACACTTCGTCGATAAAATGCAAGAAATATTGCGATATTATGTTCCGAGAATTGGTTAAATTGCTTCCAGGCAAAATTTACTGCCGTATTTTAGCTTCTGTTTTTTTAAACATATAAGCGCGCAGCTCTTTCTCAGATTAACTAACATAATGTCGGTAATATTTTAGATAAAAATATCGAAAACGTCGAACGGAGAATTCCACTGATAAGCGTAGGCCCTTGAAGATCGATACAAGGGTCTTTCGCCTCACAATCGAGGCAACACGCTATCATTAAGATGTAATCTGCAAACACCTCTAGCTAGCGCGACCTTGAACACTATGTAGCCAACAATTATCTGTGTCCGAACGAAAAGTCGTTTCGATAAGGTGACGGCCTTTTCAGTTGTAACCGTAACTTTGTTCAGCGAAAATATGACGCAGTGATTAACATTATTTCTGTTACAGCTAAAAGCCTTGTTATTTCCGGTTTTCTTTAGTCATATAAACTAGTTGTATAAACAAGTTATATAAACTACGTATACAAATAAAATCTTTTTATCTGAAAATAATTATTTCTATCCCAAAATAATTATTTTAAGATTTCCTATTGTTCTGAAACATTTTACACAATGCACGCACATTGTAAATATTACAGAAAAAAGACAATAGTTTTAATGGAATAAGGAAGAAATTTTTTTAATTATCTATCGCTTTAGTAATTATCTTCAGGTTTTCCCATTTTGCAGAATCAACAAACTTTCTGCTTGCTCATCAAATTATAATGGCATGAATCAGAGAATAAATTTATAACACAGTAGGCAGCATCTTTACCACTTAAATATTATTATTTGTGACAAAATATTGTTGAATATTGACTATAGATAATAAATATTAGTGATTGATTAAGCAAGATCTGGGCGAGATCTCGATTTTTATAGTCGATGCCCCACACTTCCTTTGTCGTTCGTGTTTTCAACAATGGGCCGTTAGCAAGTGACCGTGACGCGTGACGCCCTGCCTTGAGATTTGTTCACTTCCATCGTAAAACCTTATACTTGCTTATACCTTTAAGTTATTCTGTCAACTCGTTGCTAAGGACGCGAACGACAAGAGAAGAGTTGTGGATATTAACTATAAAAATTGTTCGAAATTTGCAAATCTCGTCTTTGATATAAAAAGTGCGAATATGTTACCACATTTAATTATTTCCTCTTTTATTTTTTTCATACTATGTTTTGGGGAGAAAAGAGAAACAAAGATAATGAAAAAGAAGTGCAGAAAGTGCAGGTAAATGCAACAGGCCTGAGATATTCAAATATTATTTCCTTATTGTTCTATAAATTTTTATACATATTAAGTAATTATTTTAATTTACATAGAGTGGTAGTAATATAGTTAATGATGCAGTCATAATTAACCGTGTGTTTTCTCGTTTATAGCTATAGGCATGGCATGAAAGAGTGCAGCCGCGCCTACTATCTGCTTACTACGCTGCGTACGCTGCATGCCAGTCGGAATGAGACAGCGCAGTGCCGTATAAGCGTAACGCTAACTGTATTGGCTTGTTGCAGAATTAACAAGTTTATTTATTGAACACTTTGAGGAATGAAAGCACTCTTTTCTCTTACATCTATCTGTGCGTAATGTAAAAAAATTACTTAAATATAAGACAACATTTGAACACGTAAATCTATATTTAAGTTTAGTTGGATGCTCCGACTTGGATGCTCCAGTTTGCTCCAGTTTTTAGTACGAGCCTGACTCAAAGGCGTCAGGTAGAATGTAAAATCAATGGTAGTGTACGTTAATTTGAGGAATTGTTTACTCATCAATTAATTCTTCACTGTGAATGCAACATTCTGTTCTCGATACGCCGAGAATCGCTCAAGATGAGCGTATGCGGGCTCAGCGACTTGAGAGAAACTATCTGTGACTTAGCAATACGAGAATACTTCGATTTGATGTGATATAACCTGTTCTTTTGTGTCACCGCTCCACGCCACATGTTGACTCATGCATTTGTCGCTGCACATTCCGAACGAATAGTTCACGTCGCTATATTAAGAAACAGCGATTGAAAATTTTTGTCGATAAAATACCATGTCCACGATTACAATGATCGTGCCTTTTTTGTTTTTCTACTGTGTTTACGTCGTATGTGCTCAACAGTACGAAGGCTGCTTCCAAAATTCTTTTACGGATTCGGATTTATCGTTAAGAATTAATCTGAAATACGTCAATACGTCTGCCGAGTGTATCGAGAAATGCCGTTCTCAATATTACATGTAAGTATCTAACTAATGTGTCTGGTTAAAGATTATATTAATGTCATATGTATGAATTTTAAAACGTTCTTGTTCAATAGATTTGCGGGATTGATGAATGGACAACAGTGTTACTGTTTGAGCAAATTCGGCAGGAATGGTCCATCAGACCGCTGCTTTCCTTGTGCCACAGATTCTAGTAATTTTTGCGGCAGCCACGAAGCTATGAGCGTTTACTCCACCGGTCAGCAAGGTATATTTTGCAATAATATAAATCCTACTTTCTATACTCTTAAGTAAGTATAATATTAATTTCTATTATACAGCGTATACTGTAGACGACTCGCAAAAGGAAAAGCTACTTTTAATACTTAGAAAGTTTTGTATATCTTCTTACAGGACTTTCAGAATTGATTCTTAAATCATTTCACGTTTCTGTTACAATATTAGTACAATCATAGACATGATTATGTCTGTTGAAATTTATTTAAAACTGAAAAAGAATCAGAAATGATTTCTCTAGTGTTAATTTAATGTAGCAAAATGAAATATATTTCCAAAATACATCAGAATATATATTACAATAGATATACATTTTTCAGGGCCAAGTCCACCGAGAGGAATACAAGTAACCCGGGATGACATAGACGCTCTAATAATAACATGGCTACCGCCCGACATGCCCAACGGAAACATTATTTCTTATACTATTCGCGCTGTAGCCGTGCAAACGTACGCAACGAACCCGTTATCGCCCATCGAGAGTCAGATTCAAGGAGGCGCATCGAACACTACGACTCTGCGAAATCTTCAACCTGGCACTAAATACAACATATCCATTACTGCCAGTAACACGCAAGGGTCCAGCGATCTGGCGTACATCACAGAATGGACTTCGATAGGTCCCCCCGAGAAACCAGTTGTGCCGAAAATATTGGAGCGAAAAGACAACAGTATAATTGTTGCGCTTACCAAAGGGCGCAGCGAAAACGGACCGATCACCGCGTATCAAGTGGTCGTCGTACAAGCCGGCACTATACCTCCGACCGACTCTGACGTTGAGTACGCCGACTACAAGAGCGCAGTGAATCAGGGATTAAGTTACTACGTTACCGCGCAGTTTGACCCGTCAGATTTCAACATATACAAGGAGTTTACCGTGGGCGACGGTAAGATAATCGGGAGTTATCACAATGCTCCGCTAAAAGATTATTTCACTTCCGCGCAGATCGGCTTGGTGGTAATTTCGCGCGTAAAACTGGAAATACAACGTTCTTACTCCGATCTAGCGAATGCATTCAAGTATAAAGAGACAGGCGCATCAAATCGTATGGATTCGACCATTCTCGTGCTTTGCATAGCGATCACGCTTCTCAGTATACTGCTCGCCGTGTCGATATTGGTATACTTTGTCCTGCGACGGCGACACGAGAGATTTAACATGCGAAAGCTGCCCGAGCAGCAAGAGCTCACGTTGCAGGGCCCGGTGCACGAGGTGGACAACATGGCTTACATTCCCGAGGACATGCCCGAGAGAGTGAATCATTATCAAGAGCTGAAGAAGAAAGTGTGGGCGATACCGCGAAACGCTCTGTCCATCGATAACTTTACCGTGCGCAGAGGACGATTCGGCACCGTGCACACCGGCACCGTTACGAAGGACGACGAATCCTGCTTGGTGACGGTCCATACCATCGCTGACGGCGCCTTGAAAGGGTCCGACAAGAGACACATGTTGAGAGAACTGGACGTGTGCATCCGAGCGGGCTCCATGAAATATCTCGCTGGTCTCGTGGGCACCTGCGAGACTCCCGACACGTTGTACGTTGTGCTCGAAATGCCGCTGCAGATCTTGAAGAGTCGTCTGTTAGGCTCACGATCAGGGGACATGTTCCCGACTGATCGGATACTGTCTATCTCATCTTCGGTAGCGGCCGCCTTGCAGTATCTCGCGAGTCACAAGATCGTTCATACTCAATTATGCGCACGAAGCGTAGGATTGTCAGCCGATTGGGCGCCCAAACTTATGGGTCACGGCATCGCGAGATACGCGTTAGAGGACGTGAAGTACACCAGGTGGACGGCGATCGAATGCTTCGACAATCAGAAGAAGCAACAGTCGAGCGTGATCTGGGCGTTCGGTGTACTTTTGTGGGAGATATTCAGCATGGGCGGCACACCGTACTCGAATCTAACGCTCGACAGCGAAGTGGAAGATGCGATTATGCAGGGGGTGCGATTACCGCAACTGTCGGATGTGCCAGATCCGATTTACGAAGTCATGTCGTCCTGCTGGCGAAATGATCCGGAAGAGCGACCGACGTTCAACGAACTTACACGGCTGGTGAGAAACAAATTTTCTCTTTACGATATTTCAAATATTTTTATATTATTTGTAACGTATTTTGTATAATAATTGTAAAAAAGAAGACATTGTGAAATTATATTTACATATGTTTTCGATTTTCAGGACACTTTGAGCATTTGTCCCATCACCGCAATCACAGAGCCTTATTTGCCAGAGTTAGAACTGAATTAGTATTCTCACTTACGTACATTTATGCCTACATTTACTTAATGATACATCGAATTTCAATTTGTAAATATCATATCTGTGTTCATGAGAATCTCGCAATCTCGTTTAACGCGCACTATACATTTTTATCGTTACCAACGTATACTATTTTTAGCGTACGTACTTATCGTTAATACGGTACGTATATTTCACCTGATATCCTAAACTTAAATTTTATTACAATTAGTAAGTAATATATAGAAAGGTAAGACAAAAGTATTGATGCAGTTCCGTCCATGTTTCATAGAAAATCGCTGATATTAAAATAAGGTTAATGAGTTTAGATAAAGAACAAAGTTGAGATAAAAGATACGAAATGATATGAATATAATCTCATATTAGTTAAAAATATATAATAAAAATTTTTTTATACTTTATTTTATTATATGAATTTTTAGGTTTTTGCACTACGAAGGCAGAGAAAATATTTTTATTATTTGTAAGTTGTGAGAATCATGAATATATAATTTTGCAATTTTTTAACTATTAATTATTTTGCTTTGATATTTGTATATTTAGGTCAAATTGCTATTCGGCAATATATTCACTTCAAGAGTACAAATATATATTACTCTAATTAATCTACATTAATTAATTAATTCGAATTTATATGCATCTCTAATGTATGTATATACAATACTTGCACGAACATGCAATCAACAAAATTGAAATTCGCCAAAGAGAGTATTTGAATGTTGAAGATGTCATTTTTGAAAAATGTTAAAATGATAATGCTTTTTTTTTACAGTACTTACCACGAATTTCATATGTATGATCGTGTCACATAAATATCGTATTACTATTTTAAGAAATAACATTGATTTTTTATTTGATTTTTTTATTGTGTATTTTCTAGTTTACCAATTATGATGTATGTTTATATTTTTTGTTGTAAACATTCCATCCTTTTTTATGAAAATATATGTACATTTTATTGTATATTATGTCTGTGCACACAGAAATATAATATATACAAGTCATCGTATATATTATAATGATATCTATTTATAATGTCTATGTATATTAAGATAAAACAATACAATTTTTATATGCATTCTTTTTTGTACTATTTATAAAAGATTTCCCAGACTAATCTTATCATGTTTTGGGTCCAGAAGCTAAACCTGGAGAGCTCAATGTATTACAAGTTGAGGCAATGGGACTAAGAGGACCAGTCAAAACTCCAATTGCTCCAATTATTAGAAATGGGAAAAACCGCACAAATTTACTTAATGATACATCGAATTTCAATTTGTAAATATCATATTTGTGTTCATGAGAATCTCGCAATCTCGTTTAACGCGCACTATACATTTTTATCGTTACCAACGTATACTATTTTTATGCTAGCTTTATTCTAGATCTTGGTTTTCCAGTTTATATAGTAGGACATAATCTGCTCGGTGCACACATTGAGGAATTCGATGAAATAGATGATGATATGGAAGAAGAGAATCTTCATCGATGATGAAGATGATGAAAAGGATCCTGAAAATGAAGATGATGAAGAGAATGAACCTAAGAAGAAGAATGCTAAGCTATAAACTGCAGCCAAATACAAAAATCAGGCTAACAAGAACAAGAAAAAATAAGCATAATAATTAGCATTTCTGTGATCATTTAAAAACGAAAATCTTACTATCAAATGATGTGATTAGTTTGAGAGATATTCTGTAAATTTCATATTTTCTTGATTAAAGAAGAAAGGTATTTGTTGTTTGATTTGTCAATGAAAATTTTCTATCTTTGCGAACGTTTATTCTATAAAGTCATGAACACAAACACTTACATCTGTAGTTTTCAGATTTACTACTTTACAATACAGTTATATTATATAAAAAAATTACTTTTTATATATACGTTATTTCTTAAACGTTTACTTGTCTTCATATATAAAGAATTAAAAAAAAATATTTTCCGTTTTTTACTCGTTACTGGCTCTTACTTTTGTCGAAACTATTATATATATATATATTACGTATATACTATAATATATTACATTATATATAATATAATACTCAATACTAAACTATTATATATATATATTACGTATATACTATAATATATTACATTATATATAATACAATACTCGTGTAACTAAGGTGAAGCCTAAGGGAAGAATTACAAAAAACTACTTTGCAAAAGTAGAGACTACTAAACTATTATCAGAAAAGCTAAAACTCTCTCTTAAGGAACAAAATGTAGACCAAAGTGCAGAGATACAAGAAAATAATTCAAACGCAAAAATTCAGACGAAAAAAAGAAAATGCAAAGAAAGCTACTTCTAAACTAAAACGTAATGCTGCAGAAGAGAAGATCAATGACAATACAGCAATAAATTTTGAACTTGTCTGAACTTGTGGCAAAAAGAACATATTAGATATTCAATATAATTATACGAAGAATAATATATTATAGTAATATATTATAGTTATTATATAAATATATAATATAAATATATGTATATATAAATGTATAACATATTTATATTATATATAACATATGTTATATAATACATAACATTTATATGTGGGTGTGATATATAATATATATTATATTCTATATTATTCTAGATCGTATTCTAGCGCGCAATCGTATTTTTACATCGTATGTGGCGATGAAACTTTACTCGAGTGAGAGTGCGGCGGCTTGAGGCGGACAGTGTGCGTCCTGCTCGAAACAGGACATAGAATCTGTTTGTACGCTTCCCTGTACAGCTTGTTGGTACCAGCGTAAATAAAAGGGTTTATCACCGCCGAGGCCCAAGCGAGCACAGACGCCACTATATGAAGTACAGGAATTTTCATCTTCTCGTCGATAACATTTACCAACATTAACGGCATGAAGCACATTAGAAAGCAAAGAAATATAGTGAGCATCAGTCTGGTCACCCTTGAGTCTTCCCTGCGTTGAAATCCGCCGCTTCGTTGTCCACGCGAGTTCTCGGCCGCGTGAGCTTCGAGATTTTTTCGGCTTCTGCGGACGCGCCAATATATGCAGAGATACGAAACGCTGATCACGATGCACGGTACGAGGAAGCCCAGAACGAATAGGAACTTCTTTGGACTAGAACCGTTTTTCTTTAGTATGGTGCACGAAAAGGTAGCTGAATCCAGTCCTAAGGTACCCCAGACCCCTAATAAGGGTGGCAATAGCATGAAGAAGCTTAAGGTCCACACGACTATTAACATTACCGTTATGCCCCGACTAGTATATAACCGATTGTAGATGTCCGATTTTGAGATCAGTATATACCTGAAAAGATCAAGATTTTTTACACAACTCCACAAAGATATTTTGAAGAATTTGGTAACTATTATATTTAAAATATATTAAAATTGATATGTTTTCGATAAAAATATATTAATTTTAACATATTTTTAAATGTATTAACTATATATTTTTTAAGATATATACACGAAAAAATTTTCTTATCAAAATATATGAACTTTGAAGAACTGTTGTCGAAATTTACCTGTTAATGGTAATAGCCACCATACTGAGTAATGATACGGCGACATTCCCATAGAAGAATAACGGAAATATCTTGCACAGAGTCTCGCCTAAAACCCAGGCTTCGTTCAAGTATCTACTAGCGGTTAGCGGCAGATTAACCGCCGAAAAGATCAAATCGGAGATGCTGAGGCTTATCACAAATGCCGTAGTGGCGTGTCGTCTTAATCTGGCATATTTTAATAACGCTATTACCGTCACTAGATTACCTGAAATTCAAACATATGCTTCAGAGCTTGCTAAAAATTTAAAATCATTATAGAGAAAAAATGATTCAAAAATCAACATATACAATATTTTTACCTAATACTCCAATAATGCTGAATGTTATAGCGCAAGCAGCAGCGACGATAGTGGCAGATCGCGTGAATGGCTTGATGCCTCCATCTTCTGAAACGATCTTGAAGACTGTGTCATTTGCCGTAAAATGCTCCATCTTTTAATGAATCTGCAGGACGCAGTTTTTTTTCTTTCGCATTCTTTGAAGAATCGAAGATTAGTGTAGTTCACTTCCTGTAAAAAACAAAAACAAAAAAGCGTATATGAAGGAGTTGATGATACCTGTTGATTTATGAGATTTAAAATGGATAGATACAAATAGAGAGCAATAGAAAAACTTTCTGTTAATTGTTTTTTTATATAGTTTATCTCTTGCGTAGTCACAATCGGTCAAACGACCTTCGCATCGTACGCAATTAGATGCACTAACTTTTCTTATCCATTCGCGTTTATTTGCACAACGCCTTCTCGTTACTTCTCTCTTCATTCATTACTTTCTATCTGCCGAGCTAACTCCCTCAATTTTTTTTTGCAAGTTTTTCTCGCGCTCCGAGAAACGTCGGCGGTCGTGGAAAGAGAAGCGAGAAGAGAGCACGCACCCTTCGAGGCGTATTCAGAGATTCAGAGAGTATTCATCTCCTTATCGCGCGCGTCTCATCAATTCATTTCCATATCTTCTTTCGTCGCTCTCGCTTTCTCCATTAAAAACACACCGTTAGTCATGCCGATAAATTTTTGTGACCTTCTCGGAATAAGTGAATATACTGATCTCTACTTAGTGTTTGCGGCAATGCGAACTTCGACCTCTGAACGGAAAGAGCTCACTGAATCATTTCTATTCTCTATATCGTATTTATTGTTTCTCGAAAGGTATTCTTTGTCCAGAAACGGTGTTTATGGCGTTCAATTAAGTCACTATCCGAACAATTTGCGCCAATTATCTTCCTCCTTTTTTCGTAATCAGTCCTTTATCACTTCAATTTAATTTTTTCTGAACCAAACACCCTTTTCTCATAATTAAACATTTTTATTTAGTATCCATTATTTGGTATCAATATTGTTTTTGCATTTTTTTCATATTAGCAATCAACTTTTCCTTGTGCACAAAGGATTGATTTCTTAAACTTTTCTAAATGCTTCACTGCACTGCTGAATTGGTCACCGTATCTGAAAATCGCTGTTACGTTGTTTTTTTTTTTAGTTTTGCGAGTGTTCTTCCTCTGTAATTTTAATCCGTTTATTGATAAGTGTCGTGAGTGTTAGTATTACGATCAGCGCGGCACTTGAATCGCTCCTGTTATTCCGGCAGACGTTCATTTGTGGACTGACGAACTCTGCTGACGCGTGTACCCTTTATGAGTACACCACAAGTCTCCTTATCTAACTCACTCGATTTAACTCCTCCTCCTCTTCTTCTTCTTTCTCTTCTTCTTCGTCTCTTTGTACTTTCCTTCCGCTTTCTTCCGTTCTTCGCGTTTAATTTCATTCGTTACTCTAATTTTGATTTCAACGTTCAAATTCTTTCTAGTCTACATTAATAATAATGTATTTATAATATAATTTTTATTGCTAAAATAAAAATGGGAAAAAGTACACGTTATAATCAATTATGCCTGTAGAATCGAAATGATAGATATTGAAATTTTCTAGAAGTCATATTGCAATCTAAGTCGGCTGATTTGATTTGCGTACATTAAATTATGAAAAAGTTATCATAGAATTTTTTTGTTCTGATACATCAGGTTAACAAGATGTTTGAATGCACTGTACATGAAGTGACACATATTGCTTCAAAAATAGTGAGCGGAAAGATACTCTAAGCTTTAACGATGTGTACTTTGTGTATGACCAGCTCATTCCATTGGTTGCACTCTATTTCATTCCGTTTTCATCCATCTCGTTGTTTGTCCTACATGATTGAAAGTTTATTCGAGTAACTCGAGCCGCGCCCCGCTTTATCTTTTTGTGGGAAGGGCTGCATAAGTCGTCGGAAAAGAGAAATTGATGAAGATGGATTGCAAAATTGTACAACAGTTTATATCGTGTATTAATTAAAGATAAAATTAGAAATATTTTTTGGAAAATATAAGGAGCAAAGCAACATGGAATCTATCCTTGAAATTATTGTTCGACGATTCACATCGTAATACTGTAGAAGCATATTTACATTTTCTTCTATGTTTACCTTCGATTTTCGACGCAAGAAAGATGTGAAAGTGCCAGCATAATTTAATAATCAAATGACGGATTTATTTTATAATGAAGAATTAAACAAGTATTTTGAATTAATAATTACCTCTGATTTCTGTCGGAGGAAAAATTTACCGCCGAATAGGTCGTTTATCCTTGAGGAGTGCAAAAATGTCGCAAATCAGTTCATGAATTTTAATGAAATCAGCTTATGAATCTGATGTGAAAAATCACATTTGTGTACACAGTTTGACGCACACGTTCGCCCACTCACACCTCGCAGCACGTGGTTTTGAAATATGCACACATGAATTACTGCACGTGTCTCGTTTGTATAAAGTCCTTTAAACGGATTGTTTTATTCTGTTCATATCCGAAAGTATTTATTTCATTTCGACAAACCGTACAAACCGTTGAATCTCATACTGCCTTCGACTTACAGTGAACCGTCATGTGATGTTCGTTGTGACAGTAAACATAACAAGCGACACGCCGGCTAGAAGGCGACTAACGTGCTTTCGCAGCAAACGACCGCCGAACGCGAATAGTGTGACTTAGCTCCGTAGGCAGCAGCTGTCAAGAGCCACAAAGGGCACCGAACAATCAGAAGGAGTGGCCCTCGACAAATAAACTCACCCTACTACCTTCTTTCATCCCCGGCAACGACAGTTCGGTCCGCGCTTCGGCCGGCTGTCGGGTTTCTTCTGGCTGATTAAAGGTAAGCTGGGTTCTGCGGAGCCCGGCAAACCAGGGGGAAAAAGTCGCAAGGAAATGTGATACAGGGTGCACCGAGTCCGAAGGGTGATAGAAGAGAGATTTAGAATTTTTGCACACACATGCTGTCGCGTTTCACCGCGCGAAATTTATCAAATCAAGAAAAATAAAAAATGTAAATTTTATATTAACACATTTAAATTGAGTAATCTTAAAGCAAAAGGTGCAAGATATAATTAAAAAATGTATTTTTATCCTCCTTATATTAAATAAAATTTATACTGCGCGTCTGGCGGATGATAGAGCCACGCAGATAATTCAGAGATTCTTGAAGTCGTGCATATGTTTGTAGATAATTTTTGTGGTTAACCGCAGTATAAAAAGAATAAAGCGGAAATATTTCAACAGATTACAAGCGAAAAGGATATTTTATTTGAATTATTCAGAGAGAATCATATAAGTATATCATATAAGTAATCATATAAAATAATATTATATTAGATGTATATATTATATGTATGAGGAATTATTGTTAAAATGTATTTTTTTTACATTTTACATTTACCTGCAATTTTCTCTTTGTTTTACCCGTGAGACAAAAATTTCGGACATAGAAACAATTGATAGAGAAATATTTGCATAATAAATTTTAGTTTCTCTTGCCGCGTTTCGAATAACCGATTTAGGAATATTTCGTGAGAATAAAGGTGTCCTTTAGCCAACGTCGCTGTAACGTTGAATATTGGAAAATAAATACTGAAAGGGTCCGCGTAATCGGATTGTATACATATACAAGTAAGTCGACATGATGCATCAGCATTGGATATTATCTTGAAAACAGTTATCTTGAAAGCTATAAAAATGCTGTTATAAAACTCACGATTACAAAATTACGTGGCGGTTTTAATGAGATTAACTGCACCATATGAAACTCACTCGGATAAAATATGTTATTTATCCGCTATATGTATGCCCGCGAGTATCGTCAGTCACCGTGATAATATCTCGTATTCTAACTCCAGTTCTCAGTGCTGGGTCAAAGTGAATCAGTCGAGCAATCGGTGACGAGCACGGTCAACTTAGGGTTGTCACAAAGCAACAAAAGAATATATACAAGAATAATAATTTTCTTTGGCACCAAGACACCTCGTCGTTCCAGACCTGAATGCTGCAATAGAATTTTTTACGCGTCGCGATATTTTCATCCAATCCCTTCGCTAATAAAATTCAAGTAATTGAACTTCTTTCTTGCTCCTACGAAGCTTCTACAATAGAGATTTATAAAATATATACATATATATTTTGTATTTATAATATCTGTTACAATTATTAGAGAAATATACGATTAATGCAAATAATACTTTTGGCAGAGGTATGAAAGATGTTTTTACATCTTTATCTAATTTCTTTGTCGTGGTTTTAACAATTTTTAAAGAACTATTTGATAATTCTGAATATTCTGAAGATCGAAGCTGATCTTTATTATATGAATTTAATTTCCAAGCTTCCCTATATTATATTTTTCTCACCTCCACGGAGAACCACTGAATCGCGTACTGAATGAATCCATTGTACGCAGCCCGCTGAACACATACGCCATTTGAATTCAACAGTGCGCTATTCACGAAATATTCAAGCGTATGTGTAGGCTCTCCTTTGAAAGGGAAAGGGCGACTTTAAGGAATGGACCAAATAGAACGTTCCTCCATGCGTTACTAGGAAGACTGCCTGTTGCGCAGTGCTGTAACTCTTTCGGAGTCAGAACAGGAGCATTTGATGTGCGCGAGGACATTCGAGGGAGAATGTAATCGCGCACATGGCTCCGACGTAACCAGACTCTATAATAATAAACGACAAAGCCTATTTCCGGGCTTTATGAATCGGGATGTGTTGAGAAAGATTGGAGAGATGCGACAATGTTATTTCAAATAATTGTATCAATCGTAGCGGTAGATGTCATTCAGCAGTCGCATTATCAGTATCTGTATTACTATTTCATAAAAAATATGAGCGACGTTCGCGCAACAGGAAATATTTTATCACCGATGATATTGCGTTACCAGCAAGTTCCTTGCGCGATATCGCAACTGGAAGGATCTAGTGTGTCAACCATGTAGATAAATGATTATTTTAATTTTCAGATCTTTAATATATGTTTTAAGAATGAAAGAATTCTATACCTAAATATACAATAACGGTGATATGCGTAATTAAGGATTGATTTATGAATTTTCTTCATGAAAATGTAGTCTCACTCTTTTTATCTTTTTGGCAACTCTCATTTATTTCTCTAATACAATTACAATATCGTAATATAGTTACACGTAATATGACATTAAATATCATTAAATTTTTTGGCTCAATCATAGCATCGTTTCGCTGATTCAAGTAAAGCTCTCTGCGATATCAGATGTATGTAGATCGATTGCATGATAATATATAAATAATGAATCTTGTTGCTTTCGCTTTTTTCGATATTGTTCGAGGAGATTAGAATTAGAACCAAAATTTAAAAAAGAATGCAGAACAAAATTGTAGAATGTCGCTAGATATTTACAGATGGTATGCAGACTGTAGCTCTTTACAGGCACTGCAATGATCGACAAGGCCACTTTAAATTTCGTTCGTAGATAAAATATGCGTATCATATCTTAACGATACATCGAGCATTCTGTATTCGATAGAAGAATAATCTGCTGCGGAATATTTATATTAATATCTTAATTTTATACTTATGTACATTACGTGGGATCTATTTTTACTGTACCGTTTGCCATAGACTCTATAAAATACAAACTTAATTCTCCAATACAAATATTTCTTGTTTAAGTACTGAATGTTGTAAAATATGCATATATGTCAGCAGACAGAACGTGTATTCTTACTATAAAGGTAAAAAAGTATTATGCTGTAAAAATATAAAAATTGCAAGAAAGAGGAGAAAATCGAGCGAAGCTAAAAGCTAGGAAAAAAAAAATAATAGCGTCTTGCTGGCAGTTGCGCTTGAAGCGAGATATACGTACAGATTATTCTCTTTACAACTACTAATGGCCCCTCCGCTTACATTTATGGCACCAATAATAATCTCTCTGCCTTTCGCAATACTATCGAGAATAACTTGCGAATGTTAAACCATATAAATGCATTTCCTACAAATCAATGTAAAACTTTACGGCCTATTGCACAAGTATAAAGCACCGATCTTATAAAGACGAGAAATTTTCATGTAGTATAAAAAAAAAAAAGATATTATCTCTAAAGTGAGTGAGATATTTTTCATCGCGAAGCTAATTGTGTCGAACAAAAGGAAAATCCGCTGGTATCATACATGTGTCGTTCTTCACAGATAAAATTCGATCGGAAGGAATAACGGCTTCCAACTAACCGCGGTGAGTTTTAAGCGGAACATTGTCTGTACAACTGCGATTTCTGCTCGATTTCCGTCAGGTGTCTTTCCATCTCCATCGTCAGCACGTCCACGTCGTTCATCAGGTCCGCCAGCACGCGTTCGTTCTCCTTGTAAACGCCTTCCATGCCATCTAGGTCTTTGAACTTGGTCGAAGTGTCCGCGGTCAGCTCGGAGGCGCGTTGTAGTAGTTTCTTCGCGCGCTGAATGTCGCCCTTGCTTTTATGCACCCGCTGATTCAGCGATTCGTCCGCCCTCTTGTACTCCTCCGACAGTTTCTTCGTCTTTCCATCGATCGTCTGCGCCTCGTCGGCGACCTTTCGCGCCTGAGCGCCGATTTCCGTCAGGACGAAGCTCTGTTTCGCGGATTGTTGCTGAAGCTGCTTCAGACGCGCTTCCAGACTGTCCACCGATTGCGTGGTGCTGTTTGCCTGAATCTGAGCCGTCATTGTTATGTTAGCGATGTATTGCAAATCTTCCTGAGACTTTGACACGTCGGCTTCCGCTTTGTCGATCGCGCTCTGCGCCATGTACTGAGCCGTCCGCGTGTCGTTTAGCGCCACGTTTATCTTGTTCGCTACAGCTTCTTTCTCGATGGCTAGGTTCTTCGCGTCTGAGGCGTTTTTCAGAAGTATGCGAGCTCTTTCAAGATCGTCCTTCGTATCGGCGAGAATCTTCTCGGAATCGGTGAGCGAGCCCACCATATTCTTGATGTTATCGGCCAGCTGCGTGATTTCTTGCGGCTGCAAAAGGATGTCCTTTCCGAGCACCTCGTACGCGAGGTCTCTCAGCATGGCCGGTGTAGGCTGATCCTCGTCCAGATTGCTCCAAATTCGCTTAGTTATGTCCGAGAGTTCCTTGGTGATTTTGTCAGAACGGTTGCGCGCGTCCCACGCGTAGTTGAAGGCATCCTGAGCGTTGGATCTCGCCGCCGTCGCATCCTGCTTGACTATGCTTATCTGATAAAAGAGGTAATAAAGAAATAATTACAGAAATCGTGGACAATGAGTAAATTATAAAAGTCAAGATTCGAATTATTTCTATAAGTTTAGGACGACTTTCTCAAGATGTTTTTCAGGCGTCGAAAAAATGTCTTTTTTAGAACATTTTTCGTTGCTATTAATTGCAATTTTAATTTTTCATAATTCACAAATTGATAAAAATAATTAACATTTTCGTAGAGATCGTGAATAACTTGTATGGGAATAGATAATTACATTGCGCAACAGCTGCTCGGCCGAATCCCTGTGTTTTTTGATCGTAGAAGCCTGCTGTTTAGCGACGTCCAGAGCTTGCTCAGCCTTCGTGATAGCGCCGACATCGCAAGACAATCCTCCGCAGAATCCGCAGCCCGCGCCGCCGCAAACGTTGCTGCAATCCGTCACGTTGTCGCCGCATATCTGCAGATTCAATCCCGGCATGATCGTATTGAATGTCTTCAGTTTCTCGTTCAGCTTCGTCAATGACTCCCTGTTCTCCCTTTGCGCCTTGTCCATGGAGTCGCGATTTTTCACTAGAAGATTCTCGGTGTGCTTGCGGAATCGCTCCGCGTCGTCCAGCACGTTGCTGGTGTCGTTCGCCATTTTCTCGGCCTGTCTGGACTGCTCAGCCATCTGTTGCGTCACGTTCAGGGCGCCCTGCACATTTTCTTCCTGCAATCTCGTGGCGTTTTCCCGCAGCTTGGCGGCGGTCTCGTGCAGACTGTTCGTCCGGTTCTTCAGCTTCTTTAAAGCGACGTCGCCGAGGTTGACTCGCTGATTGAGATTCTCCAAGAGATTGTTCGCTTCTTCCAAATCCTTCGCCGAATCGGAGATATTCTTCGTCAACTCGTCGGCCAGAGTGTCCAACACGTCCAGATCTTGGGCGCTGATGGTGGTGTTGTTGATTAAATCCCGAACCTCGTTCAAGGATTCCTCCATGTCGTCGAATTCGTGGCTGTACACGCCGGTCGTGCCGACCTTCTGTATCCTCGAGGCCTCCTGAATCACGGCGTTCGTCTTATTTCTGAGACCGTCCAGTATCAGATCCCAGTTATCGAAACACTCGCCGCAAGGGCTGCACTGAGGTGCTTCGCCGTGGTAACCGCGGTCGCACTGGTCGCACTTCTCACCGCCGATGCCTTTGTGACAGACGCACACCCCGGTTTCTCGGTCGCACTGCTGGCTGGCGGAGCCGATCACGTCGCACTCGCACGGATAGCACTCCACGTTCGGATTGCCCCAGAAATTCGTCTGGCACTCGTTGCACCGTCTGCCGCCGAATCCTTGCCTGCACTCGCAAGTGCCATCAAAGGGATTGCACCTAGACACAAAAATATTTTCCTTGTAGTCTTCTCTTATCGTCTCGATATTTTGCAAACCGGCCACTTTGATTTACGCCATTTTTTTTTCTAAACAAAATTAATCCGAACATTCGACGTTGCGAAAATTAAGTTTAGCTTAATTGAAAAGACTGGATTTTTTATATTAAAAAAACGAATTAAATTTAATTTTATTAGAAAATTATTGTTTATTGTCAAATTTGTGTTAAATCTTTTTTAAAGATATTTAAATAGACAGAGATAAAATATACCTATCTGAAACGCTTCCAACCACGTCGCACTCGCAAGGATCGCAGCCTTCTCCGCTAGCTATTTTCCAGTGATAATCCTCGCAGGAGTCGCAGAGCTGTCCTATGACGTGCGGCAGACACGGGCATTGTCCAGTACGATGATTACACGGTCCCGCGGCCTTATCAGTGCCCAGAACATTGCATCCGCAATCGCCACAGTCTTGTTGCAGTGCGTCTCCATAGAATCCCGCTTTGCATATCTCGCAGTTTGGACCGGCAGTGTTGAACAGACATTGGAGACAATGACCGGTGTGCGGATCGCAGTTTCCGGCTCGGCGCAGGTCCGTGTTGTTGCTGCAGTCGCAGAACTGACAGCTACCGCCGGGTATCTCTGGATGACCGAAGTAATTTTCGGCGCAATGCTCGCACCGAGGCCCAGAATACCCTTCGAAACATTCGCACACCACGTCTTGGGTCACCGAGTCTAATGAACAACTGTCGGCGTAAGAATGGCCGGATTCATGCGTGCCTATTAAAACAGAAAAAAATAATATATTACATGATTATTATATAATAACGCAATGAAATTTTTAAAAATGATAATAACAAGAATTTATTTCTTTTTATTTCAGCACGAACAAAAATGAATAGCTAAGTATCACAGAAGCTAATTTTACAATTTTGAATATTTTATTATTATTGTTCAAATTGTTAAAATATTGAGTTTTCAAAAGAAAAAAAAGGATAAAAATAAATCAATTCGCATTTTGCGGTATCGTGGAAAGCGAATCACAATAAGACCTTTTAATAATAGAGTAAATTGTTTCAGAATAGTATGCTAACCCGGACAAGGGCACGCTCTGCAGGATATATCCACGCCTATCCGCGGATCGCCGTAGAAATCGTCGACGCAACGATCGCAATTGTGTCCGGTGGTGAAGTCTCGGCAATTAATACAGGCGCCGGTCTTCGAGTCGCAACTGTCCGCGTGTCCGTTGCACTCGCAGCGCTGGCAATGCGGGAAGTTCCAGAAACCGGGCTCGCACTGGCCGCAAGTTCTGCCGTAGGTGTTGGGACGGCATTTGCAGCGACCGGTCTCGACGTCGCAGAAATTGTCGAGGGCACCGACGCCGTCGCAGTCGCAGGGGACGCATCCTTCCGGACCGAAGCCGTACGTTCCCGGCGCGCAACGGTCGCAACGTCTGCCAACCACGTTCGACTTGCACGGACACATTCCGCCGTAGTTCTCGCACAGGAGACTACGAGAGCCCGTCGGGTTACACTCGCAAGCTAAAATTTAATATTGCACCCGGTAAGAGCAGAAAAATATAATTGAAGATTAACAAAGAAGAATAAACGCTACGCAGGAAAATACGTGATCGAACTTACAATGAGCGCCATCGTAAACATAATAGCCGATGCTATTTTGATACTTTCTGCAGACTTCGGGTACGTTGCTCCACACACTGTTAACATCGTTGAAATATTCATGACAGCGATTCCGTTCGTATTCTATGCGACGCAGCTCACCCGGTCCCGGCAAATTGAAGAAGGGTATCACGTCTATCCTGGGTTTCAGAACAATCTGCAAAAATCGTATAACTGCAAATAAGTGGCTGACACAGTTGTTAATATTTTATTATTGTCGTTTAAATATCTAGGGGCAAAAAAATATGTGACAAAACTGAGTGTTTGTCAAGTAACTTTTGAATTTAAATAATATATATCTATTTTATAATGTTTATGTATATATTAATTACAGTTTTCAGCGTATTATTTATAAACAATAATGGAAACAATATATTACCGAGTCGACCAAGATAGAAGCTGATGTAGGCGTCTCCAAGTGACTGTTGAACTTGCGGAATTGCAGCAGTAAATTATATCGTTTTCCTGCTTCCAGACATACAGCCGGCTGCGCTGTGGCGCTCCTCGAACGTAAAGGCAATTGAGCCCACAAGCGATCGTACTCGGGTCTCCAATCGGCACATGGTCCATTCGGATCCGGCGGACTGTCTCTCTCGAGAATAATCTGCACGTCCTCCCAGACTCCCGGATGCACCGGCTCGTACCGTACAATCACGTCGTACTCCATGGTTCTGCGAATGTCGTCAATGGTGAAGTTCAGCATCGAACCCTCGAGAGCCTTCATGAAACCCGTGCCGGTCCACGTGCTGTTCCTGCCGTCGCGATAAGGCTCTCTAATCACCACTTGACAGTTCTGAAAGAGAATTTTTTGCATTCTGATCTCAAAAGTATTTAAATAATTTCAATAAGTGACGCTTTCAAATATATAGAAGAGATTATTTTTATTACAAATATTTTGTACATCATACTTGCGGCGATTGGATCGAATATTTTGTCGACAAGTATGTTTAATTCAATTTCATTTTACGAACTCACATCGGTAGCTCTGGACAGCTCGCCTTCGTAAATCAGAAAATCTAACGAGCCGGTGTAATAGCTCTGCTCCGGCTGGTTGCAAGTTCTACCGCTGACGTGCGGCCTGCATCTGCACTGACCATTAACGACGTCGCAGGAATTTTCGTACGAGCCGCCGGGATCGCAGTCGCAGGGCTTGCATCCGTCTGAATCCTCGGAGAGTCCCCAATACTCCGGCAAACATTGATTGCAGTCGCGCGCGGTGACGTAGCGTTTGCACGTACACTCGCCGGTTAACGTGTTGCAGCCCTGATTGTCGATCGTGCCCAGAGTATTGCAAGTGCAGGCTGCAATTATGAAATTATCATTTTTTTCAAGTTTTGAAAACTCATCGTCAAACTAATTAGTTAAAAAGAAAAAAAGTGGACATCTTGTTGCGATTGAAAATGATCTAGTTTTTAATTTAGATGTCACACTTGTGCAGAAATATTAAAATAGTTGCGTAATTCGGCGGCTCACATTTAAAATTATAACTATCACTTTTTTACCTTGACATCCCTCGGGATTGTCGGGATCGAAGTTCCAAAAACCGTTTTTACAGCGATCACAACGGCGTCCCTCGATGTTTGCTTTGCAATGACAGCGTCCAGACTCGTCGCCGCTGATAAGATCGGTTCTCGAGTCGCATATTCCGTCGTCCAAGGATCCATCCAGGTCGCAGTCGCACGCTGCGAAAGGAAAAGTCGCATTTTCTTGCCTCACAATGTCTCAAATTTAGCATTTCACTTTTAATTACAATTTATATTATCTACATTTTTCCTATTTTTAAAATAAGTGCACAGATAGTGCTTTTACATAAAATATACATATATTATAAATATATATTAATATTATATACTCACGTTGACAGGCTGTTTTATCGGAGATATCTTTTGTCATGTCGTGATAGTAGAACGGTTTGCACTGCTCGCAATTCTGCCCTCGCGTGTTGTCCTGGCAGTCGTCGCAGACGCCGCCTGACACTCTTCCCGATCTCTCATAAACCGCTTCGTCGAAGTGACAGGATTCCGTGTGATTGTTGCAATTGCACTTCCGGCAAGCGTTCGTCTGCTTGCCGACCGCAGGTTTCCACGGCAGATCGTTGTAGAAGTCATCGCACGTCTCGCAATTCAAACCCTTGGTGTTGTGAGTGCACTCGCATCTGCCGTGGACCATGTTCTTCTCGTCGACGACGCCGGATAACGGCAAACATTTGGAGGCGTGTCCGTAGCAAGAGCAGGAGCCGCGGATCACCATGTGTTGGATGGCGTAATAGTACTTCTCGCGAATCTCGGCCCGATCGTCGAGTAAATCGTCGCCTAGAGTGTGGAGCCTCATCATATTGATCCTGAGATTGGTGATCTTCAAGAGAGTCTGCACTTCCTTCGAGTAGGGATTGTCGATCTCCAAATTTCGCGGCAGCACCCTAAAATGTATTAGCATAAAAATGTTTATTTATCAAAAGACAATTAATAGAAATTACTTTGATTTCAGCGATCCGACGAAAAGCTGAGTTAAAAGCGCTGTAAAATATTCTTGCGCGCGTCTTACCTAAAGATTACGTCACCGCCAGACGACGGCGCCACAGCCGAGTATCTTTCCTCGCAGATGACATCGGTTAATTTTTGCGGTTGTTGGACAGGAATGCCGGGGAAGTAGGTCGCGCAGTTGTGAGCGAAGTATCGATATATCTGCCAGGTTTTTCCGAAATCATACGATCGTTCGATCAGCATAGCAGCCGGCCGGAAAGTTTGGAAGCGAATGATGAGATGCGTGAAGTGGAATTCCGCCTCGAGATCGAAGCGTATCGTGACATTTTCCACTCCGTTCTCGGCTTGCCACCACGATCTTAAATTTATCATTTTTATATCATTTCTCATTATTCTGTATTTTTAAAAATATGTTATTTCTATTTAACTTGTTGTTTCAATATTACTTATTATTATATTTATTGTATTTCAGGACAGAGAGAAGATTGAGAAAATCAAACAAAGGCCTCACCCTATTTGGCTAATAATGTTTTCGATGTTATGCTGCTGTTTGACCTGCGATGCGTCGCAGAAGAAGCACTTCTTTCTGTCCTTCAGATGCGAAACGATGCAAAATCTTTCGGGGCCATTGAGACCGCACGTCGACGAAGCGCTCAATCTGTTTTTACGACCGATCAACAGGTCGCCAGTCGCGGGATAGCACGAGCTCTGCTCGCAAGGATGTGCTCTCTTCGGGTGCTGTCCTGTATAAAAAAAAGAATTCTCGTTACTCTTTTATAACGCGATATGTGGATTTTGTTAATCACATGGTTACACTCTTATCTCCTATTATTTCTCCTCTTATTAGGAGAGTTTCATCGCATATCGTATCGATGTCTTACCGATATGCGTTAGATACGTGAAGGAGGATATACATAGTTTCCCAACTACCAGTTAGTTTGTATCGATCGATTAGTACGATATACGATACCTGTACCACTTTGTATGGGGAATCAATATTGCATAACAACACCATTAACCATTCGAGAAATAATAAGTATATTAATAAAATGTTTGTCTGTGTTAAAATAATGATTTGTGTTAAATGGCAACTCGTTAGGATTTTTTTGTATTAAGATAATAGCGTGTTCGCTCTCAATATCTTCCGGGATAACGCGTTACATATTTACGTTTCTATGAGACTACCTCTTGCTTTGGCAATAGTCGGTCTTAGCCGATTATGACGTTCTGTCATCACCTCCATAGGTGACATATCTCCTCTCTGCACCGATCCTATAACACCCCCTTTATCTTTGTATTCTGCTTGTATAATTATTAGGTAGAACGAGCTATCTTGTTCGTCGTAGTAACAAAAGTTGTTCCGAGAGTGAAATAAAAAATTAATTTAGGAATTTAGATCTTTACCTCTCTGTGGTGGTCCTCTGTAATGATCTCTTTGTCCATATTGAAGATCAGCAGATCCTGGAAAGAATTTAAGAATAATGAAAAAAATTTGAAGATAATGTAAAATAAAAAATATGTATTACTTGTAAAATAATAAATGAGTGATAAACAAAGATCAATTTTCTACATTCATGCGACAATAAATTGCGACAATAAGACCTTGAATGATTTCCTGCACTTTTTCAAAATACGCAACGATAGCGAAATGTTAGACATGAATTAATTTTAACATAAAATAATTTTTTTTTCAGCGTTTTATGCGATGCTGAAACGCGCCAGTTATCAAGAAACGTTCTACTACCGGCAGAGGCTATCGCAAGGGACAGCCGGATGTTTACGACAGAAGACACTTATGGGAAGTACTTTCGAGCTCATTGAAATACATAGTGTCCTTGGACTTCTGCAAAATCACCTTTAAATCATAAATTCTTCGAGACCAACTTTCTTGCAGCGAAGGTAAGTCGTTCTTTACTGCAAGCTTGCAATTTTTAATGTCAAAAATCTTTAGCAAATTAGAAATTTTTTCAAAAAACTGATTTTAAATCGACTTCGCACATAAAGATTTATAGATAAATGATGATATAGTAAATCTAGGACACTCCGTATATCTCTTGATTATGCGACGTGCTTAAACAAGTATGTGCGTCCATCTCAATTCACATTCGTGAATGTGGAATCTTCTTAAATCGATAAGCATACGCGAAAAGATTTATATTTGTAGGGCGGTTGGGTTTTTGAAACCGAAATAAACTCGTTGATTACAAAAGGAAGACAGGTCGCGAGGTCATCTTGCTATCTAATCATACTGGATAAAAACTGTTCTGGTTACCAGAGAAATGAATGGGACAAACGATGTTTCATTCATCTAAGAGAAAAAGAATTTTGTTACGCTGTTCTTCTACATGCGGAATACATAATGTTAAAACAATGTTAACAAATAAAAGTGCATTGAGATCGCGAGAATAAGATTAAAAAATTTTTATTCGCAAAGATTTGATACATACAACATATATGAAAATATCTTAATTAAGTATTTAATTGCTTTGTAAAAAATTAACACACATTATTGTAGACTAGTATATCTATCGACTATTACGTACCTGTTAAAATAGTAAGAATAATAATTAAAGCTGCGAAAGCCACGTGCCGATACCGAGCATGAAGCATTTTTCCGTTTATTTTTTATCTCTGTCTTGAAGTTTTTACAACGAAGCCATCGACGATGATTCAGGGTACTCTTTAAACAAAATATTTCAAAAATGACACAAATCCGTCCAACATATTGCGATAAATTTTATTTCTTTTTAATTCACTTTCACAAATTTGCAATAATTTTATTTAACTTGAACAAACTGATCTAGCTATGATTTTATTAGAATTATAAATATGTCAAAATAGTTTTCATTAATCTTTAACAATAACTTTTTAGAAGCATTAATTATCCTAGGATTACCAATTTTTAAAGAACGTTAAATAAATCAGGCATTAGAAACAGATGTCTAACGAATTCTGATTTTAGCAGTTATTTAACGTCCAGAATAAAAATAGAAAAGACATACATGTGTAAAGTATGATAATATAACAAATGAGAATTTGAAAATAATTTTACATTTTGGATTTGAAATCGTGAATAAATTATTAAATTTCGGAGCAGTCCCTTTCGAATAGGCAATGCATACACAATAAACGAAGCGAAACGCACTTCCGCGCACCTGTGGAGCGAAAAGTGACTCTCAATTGCAATTAATTTTGCTTCTTTATCTAACAGAGCTCACCTAGGTTGATGTACGCGCAAAAATAGCGTTCCTCCCTGTCGACAAGACGTTTCTTCTTTTCTCGAGACGGGCGCCGCTCCGGAGTCGCGTTCCGAGCGGCAAGCCGAGATCTCAGAACAGAACGAGATCGGAATTCTCCTGCCAAACCGTCCAAGCTCTTTCTTCTCGTGGCCGTATCACTGAATCACAATTCGTTATTCACGTGCGATACGCGAGCGGCGCGACACGGTAGGCCTCTTGACAGGTGCGAGTGCACCTTCGGAAAACTCGGTGACGACGGAAAATGAAAAACGCGGCGGCGGACGCGCCTCGTGATGCGTCTCTCGCAGTGAGCCTCGGCTTGCCGAGCTGCGACTCCTCTCGAGGTGCTCATCAGTGCCGTACATAGAGTCACGGGACAACGAGCGGAGAGGGAACGATTTGTTAAGCGACGAGTGGGACTGAATGGCTGGGAAGCCTTAGGTAGAAACCTCGGAACCTCACGACTGACACAGGCCTTTCTCTTTCGCGCTAGCTATGCGTGAGATGCAATTTTGAAAAAAGATGCATTATCGAAAAAGTTTTAGATAAGCCATTTAGCAGGAATATTTTTCGCACAAAGTTCGTGAAAAATCCAATTTTCTACAAATATTATTAGCACGATTTTGCGAACAATCGCTGAGTCTTAACATAAATATAGTATTTTTGCATCGAGTATATAAAAAGTATCATATACATCGTTAAAAAAATATTGGATAATTATTTAATGTTTCGTGCATTAAAAATATCTTACTTAGATCTCAATAAATATTTTCTATACATTTCTCAATTTGTAGAGAATGTTTGAGAATTGCTATCTATTGAAAGCAACGAGAAAAAAAATATTCTTTGCGTAAATCGTGAAGCACAAATCCTAGCTCTTCTTCTATCGCAGGTCAACGTTCTGTCGCCTGATATCATTTTTTTTTGTACGTCGCAACGTTGCGGAAAGTCTTTATCGTATAGATTGAGAACTCGAAATCGTCGGTGCTCCAATTTTGTTTTAACTCTCCTGACAACGAGTTATGTGTTGAAGTTGCACACCCGTTATATACTTGTTGTTGCACATGTGCAGCACATTTGCCGCGTCTGTCGTCTTTTAAAGCATATACAAATAGTATATACAAATAATATGAATTTTCTCAAACGGCATCTCTCAAGCAATATCTTTGATTAAAAAAGTAATATACCCTAAATATAATTATATTTGGAAAAGAGTTTGTAAATCGAAGAAACATTAGAAGGATATTTTTATATTTATATATCGTTGCTTTTAAAACAGTTAAATAATTATTTTATTGAAGCGTGCAACGTTATTCAATACTGTCTGCGTCGCTTAGTGTTCGCAAGTAATCTTTGATGACGCGTATCTTTGCGCGCAACGAAAGAGGACGGAAAGCGAACTGTCCTGGAAAGGCGAGACGAGGAAGAGAAGGCAATGGCATCCTGCTATCGTAGCCGGGGTATGTTGTACAGATAAGGCTGCCCACGCTGCGTTTCCTTCCTCTCGCGATGATCCCACTTTCCGTTTCTCCACGCGAACATGATCTGATTCGCTACATCCGACTGTCTACGACAACGAACAATTTCGCATGATTTAATTTTTCTGTTCACAATCAATTTCTCGTAGTTATCGCAAACAGAAGTACAGCACAGCTTAGAATTTAATACACGACAAAAAAATAAAATTAGAGAAATTAGAAGAATACAAAAATATCTTTAATTAAGGCTGGCATATATAAATTTGCTTGATGTCAAAAAATAGTTAATTTATATCGGAGCAGTTTTTACAGTGTGCAAATTGTATCACTATGAACATACAGCATTTAAAAAATTGTGTCTTATGCTAAAAGGACGTTTGTGCAAACTTACGTTTTTTTTTTCTATTAATTTTATGAAAATTGGATTTGATTAAATCGTAGAATCGTTATTCTGTGTTACTTATACATTTACGATAACTATACTTCATTGATAAATAACATAGCATAATAACATAGCATTAAGATAAATAATTTCTAAATTTCAAGGAGAATTATTGTGTAATTTTATTTTTTATACGATTTGTAAAGAAATTTATCGCGCAATTGTTTTTGCTGCTGTCATGTATCAACATATGAATATAAAGAAATAGAAGGAGAACAAAAAAAAGATATTTTATGAAACGCTTTGGCTAAATTTAATTTAATTGTTAAATGTGTTGGTGCTACGATCCTGTAGTTACATTGGTGGGGTTGAAAATAGGCGGAGAATGAAGTTGCAAGTCAACAGATTCCCTTTTTACTAACATTGACAGTGTTTGATAGTCTTGCTTAGGACCAATAGATGGCAATAAATGTATGATAATTTTAGTAATCACTCATTATTTTTTAAATTTTGAATAAATTAGTGATAATTAATTATGCGACAAGGAAATGATGTAATTTGAAAAGATTTTATTTTCAATATTTTCTTTATTTTTTCATAGAATTTTCAATTTCATTAAAACAAATCAGTCAACATTAATAGTTTTAATTTTTTTAAATTAATATTTTAGAATATATTGATCTCATTAATTTTACAATATAATAATTTTATTTATTATTTTATTTTAATAAAACATATTATTGCTATTGTCTTGTAACAGTTTTTGAGATTGTTGAGCCTCCAGATTTAGGAAAGTGAAAGGATATTTTTATAAGATGATATGTAACTTCGAAAAATTGATTATCATCAGAGAGAGCATAATTGCTTTTTATTCTTCACATTTTTAACAGTACAGACGTATAATACAGATGTAAGTAAAACATTTTTTGTTGCTTATAATAAGTTTTGATGACGCAAAATTCAATTTTAGTTGCCATACATTTGATAACACTTATGAATCAAGAAAGTTGAGATTTATTTTACAACATTGTTAAATTGTCGTGGCATTGCAAAAACGACGTATAACGTTTGTGAATTTTCTATTAGGCCTTCACGAATTTTATATGAACAAAGCGGTGCGTGAAGCTGAATAAGCACGATACGCTTATTTTCTAAATTAATACGCAGCCTTGCAAGTACATCGTTGATTCTGTTCTATTTAGGCGAATTTTTGATTTATTCATGAGAAATTTTACAAGATTATTAACAAGACAAGAGAATATCTTTTCCAAAGAACAAAATTTACGACGATTTACACATAATTAGAACGTCTAATAATTGAGAAGCAAGAAAAAGATAAATTTTTGTTTTTGAATATATAGCTATCAAAATATATTTTACGCATGCTTTATGAATCGTAATTATTCTATTATCGATGCTTTATGAATCGTTTGTAGATCTCTTGTATCGCTGTCAGATTATCGTTGTCGAAAGGATGCAAAAATGAGCAGTCAGAAAAACCAGTTTATGAGTATATCGTGATAATAAGCAATACCATAGTAAACCTATTTATCTTAGGAAAGAAAATCGAAAAAGTTCTGAAAGACTAGGCATTCTTGCGCTATGTTTTATATCTATTCTTTGCGATAGTTATACCTTCGATCCCCAACTCTCTTCAAACACTTTCGGCCTTTTGCAATGCAAACTCTCTGTCATTCGCGGACCGAAGTATTTATTGCGTATAACGATAACAAATTTTCCAGAAAAATCTTATTGCTCTTCATCTCCTTTGTCGTCTTTCGATCGATTCGTACTCGTCGCTGTCGCAGAGAGCTCGTCCGCTTGTCTATACTCTTGGTTTCTTCATTAACCGTGCGTTCTTCTGTGTGAGTACTCCCGATATTATCGTCTAAATGTACTCGGCGAACATTATCCAGTAGGTGACGTTTAACACGGCGAACAGGAAGGGGAAGAAAACTCGCGAGAAGCGGTCGATGTTCAGCGCTCGTATTCGCGCCCTTTGGGCCGGGGTGGGTCCGGTGGGCGGTGGGCCAGTCGGTGATTTCTGCGATCGGCGGGATAACAACATTGCGTTTTCCTGCGTGACAACGATCACTAGTTGAACCGTCACCATGCAGACTGCCTCCCACGCCTCGAAGAGCGGGACACGACTTCGGAGCAATTGTAATAATGTTGCAGTTATTGGTGTGTTAAAATAATTGCAATCAACGAAAATGTGGCATTTGTGCTGTTTTCACAACTTTTGCAATGTAAATCATGTAAATAACTTTTTATTATTTTTTTCTCAATATCTCTTGAAGCTGTAAATAACTACGCTTTGAATTAATCTTTTTTATAACGTTCGTCGTTTCCCCTGTTCAAGGCACAGAAGTAGTTCAATGCAAGAAAATCTGAGGTCAATTGTACAAAAAAAAATTGTAAACTATTTATCACAAAATTACAAGAAAAAGTCTGATATTCTGTTACAAAAATTTTACGATTTTATCTCAAATTTCCACGTTGACTTTTACCAAGTGACAGAAATTGTTTTCACGAAATTCTTTCATAATTTTTATCGAATCAATCAGTTGACAAAATTTGCAGCGATTAAGCGTTTAGATTATTGCGGATATAATTCTTGTTAAAATTGACCTCAAATTTTCCGGAAACAATCAGTCAAACGTTACCTTGGCGGCGATGTCGAAGATCTTGTCGAGTTTGGTCGAGTCCGCGGTGCTCGAAGACGGCGGCGGTGGCGGTGGCGCGGGTTTCGCGGGTGCAGCGTCCGAATCGCCGAGGACGATGTTCACCAGGCAGTATTCCATCAACGCCATGAACACGAATATCGTGCAGACTGACATAAAAGCGTCGACGGCTTTCAAATACGAGACGGGCGGTAACGAGGCCTGACTCTTGGCGTGCTGCGTGGATAGAGTGAGCAACGAGGTGACTCCCAGGGTGACTCTGGCGGGCGCGGCTTCGGGTTTTATCCAGAACGATACCCACTGCAACAGGCCGATGTTTTTCGTGAGAAATAAAAATTGCGATTGATGACAAATATCTACGAGAATATATTGCCCGGCTTTACTTACCGACATAATGACGATCAGACACGTTGGCACGTAGGTGTGAAACAAGTAATAACCGAGACGTCGCTTCAGCACGAACACGACTTCGAGACAAGTGAAATTACCTGGAAATTACGACGTAATCTTTAAATGTCAAGCTCGATATTTCATTGAAATTAAACTAAACTCGAGTGATATCAATGCATGGGTATTCGATCAAAAAATTGAAATAATAGAAGATGGAGAAATAAGAGAAATAAAATATTGAAATCACATTGCATATTTCGGAATATGTAAGTGAAAGTTTGTTGAAGAAAACTGATTGCAGCTATGAGAGTACATCGAGTGCAACATAGTGTTCTTTTACGCGATTTACTCACCGGTAGAATAGACTTGCGTGCAGTCAGCTGTATAATTTTTAACAAGCTGCAACTGGGGTAGTTCGATATTCTCGTCTACGACAAGAGGCACGTCGGGATCCCACTGGAAGATCATTTCATCCGTTGTGTGCGACACTGTTGATCGAATTGTTTTATTTCCGTATGAGATAAAAGTACACATAGCGTTCGGTGATACACTATATATAATTTATCAATCACATGTAACATATCTAACAGTTTATTTACGTTTTATATTCGTTAAAGAAATGTTAAGCATGTATTATAATTACAAATACGTTTTTTTTTCAATTCTTGACTGGAAGTTAATTATTAGAACGATTAAAAGTTGTAAAAAATCAGTAACAGTAATTAATGCATATTTAAACATAAATATCCATGTAACATTTGTAAACATTTGCAAACAATTTGCAATTTGACTTACAACTCTCCATTTGCAGCTTACATTCTTGCGTATCATGAGGGTAGATCAGAAAATTCATGGCGCAAGAAAGTTTTAGGGTCAGTCTGAAATTGTCGATATTTATATATTTCAAGTGTTACACTTTGAGACACGTCTTTCTACAATCAAAATATATAATATGCAACTCACTTGACCATATAAAGAATGGTTTTATCTTTGTACAACCATAGATAATGATTCGGTATCGTCATCGTTTGAAAAGTCACCGACTTTGCATTCTTGAAGAATGAATCCGGCCGCCACATATTTTTCAACCAATCGACCTCTAATAATCTTAAATTTGATCACAGAATATGAGTGAAATATAAGAAATGGAATCGAAGTCACTCAGAAGATTGTAGAAATATTAAAAATATATATAAAAATATAATATGTGTGGAATACAAAATACATAAAATATATTTGCTGAAAAATTATCGAAGAGTTATATACGTATAACGATTTGTCACACGTACCTATATTCAGATGTCATATTTTCTGGCAACCGGAGTCTATTGTCTTTCCATGTTTGGGCAAAGAAAATATCGGCGGCGTACGTCTGTAAAAATAATTTGCCTTACGAGATGATTCCGCGAAAACAATAATTAATAATAGCGACTTAAAAAAATGCGATTCAAAATTTTCATCAATTAATAATTAGAGTTACGACATAAAAGTAATTTTTATAATTATTAATTTTGCTTTTGATTAGGCGTTTACCATTGAATTTTCGTCGATGGAATCGAGTCCCATTACAGTAACGTGAAAATACACAACGGTTGCCTGACCATCTTTCTTGGGAGGCCGCATTTTGTCGTAAAACTTAGGATCTTCCGGTAGGAGATCGAAGAACTCTAAACTTCTCCTGCAAAGCAAAATGTCGCGACAACATTTTTAAGAAATTTACCCGAATTACGCATAAATCATTTTTTTACGACTCCATGCTATAAATCAATGAATTTATTATCCAGACAATTGATATGATTTATGCTCAGGAAAAATGTTGCATCAATCTTCTATCAATCAATTTGGATATCACTTACTTTCTTAATTAATATTTTTAAAAATACACAGCAACAGCTTGAAACAAATTTACGTGCAACGTTTATCGAAGATTGATCAATCGTAAAATGTTAATTTCTGGACAATACGTCGTTATACTTACTGGGCATTCGCGGCACGGCCGAAAAGCAGAAGGAGCAAAACGGACGAGAGCGTCGCGGAAGGCATGCCGCCTCTGTGTATCTCCTCCGTGGACATGCTTCCGCCGTGTCTTAACACATTTTCGCGTCACAACAATCAAACAACACAAGAAGAGGAAAAAAAAAAAGAAACAGAAGAACAGTTTCACTCTTTGAGAACCGGGAGGGAAAGAGAAGAGAGGAGCAAGAGTCTCGAGATAATCCGGAAGCGGGGATTCGGGCGCGACCGAGCGGGCTGAAGCTCTTTAATCGGTACCCCAAATTTACGAGGACGGGTAGGCGACGACTGAGTTCTTGAAACGACTTTGTCAAATCTGCAGAATTCACCTCATCGTCGTGTATAGACGAGCCCGACGACGACGTGGAGGTGGTGCGGATGGTGGCGGTGGTGGTGGCGGCTGTGAAGGTGGTGGACCAGCGACGGCAATACCTTTCTGCCGCTAACTCCACCTCCTCCACCACTTAACGAAGGCACAGAGGGAAGAAGTACGACGTAAAGAAGGGGTAACTCTCGCTCATGACGTACAGGCGGTGGATAGAATCTCGAGTATCGCGCGCTGGATCGGCGAGAGGAAAAAAGGAATGAGGTGATGGCAAATCCCTCGGCGCGGGATGCCTCATGTCATTGGTTTACGTCGCTTGAATTTACCTCAATGCGGCATTCCAGTGTCGTCATTGACACATTTGTATTCTTAAATTCTGCAAAATGTAGCCGCGAAGCACTACGTTTCTTTTCTCTTTATCGTAGTGAGAATCTCACTACATAGTCGCAAAGTTCAAGTTTATCGCTCTTTTTATCCATTTAAATACCTGAAATTTCCAGGATTTGCCATCTTATTTTTTCCAGTCTTGTCGCACTAATATTTTATAATTTCACTTTTTCCGTAGGTGCGTCAGAGAAAGGTTTTAAAATGTGACTAAATTTTCAATATGAGTTATCTCGATAAGCAAGATTTTTATTCTTCTTAGAAACATCAATTTTTTTATCTTTTCTTGTTTTAACATACACTGAAAAGCATTATCAATATGTTAATGAGTTTTAAGAAAGTGTTAGCGATGATAGTTAGAAAAAGACATGCGCACACAGTGCACACATCATCTTTCGCCGTTTCTTCTCTTTCGGCTCTCTTCCTGAAACTTTCTGACGGAGAGGCGCTAACTACCACGCTATTTGAAGTCACCAGTATACCGCTCGATATATTGATCCCCGAAAATTGTGCCACGAATAGAAAGGTGTTCGTCTCGTTCGTACAGTGTCGAGTGGCCACTTATCGAGAGAGTATACACACATATCGGTGTGTACGTGTGTACAGGTAATTCAATGGCTGTGCGCGTATGTATACATATTTGTGTGTAAAATAGTAAAGAATTAGAAGATAGGAATGAAAGCCACATATATAAAAGTGTTTGAAATTAGAAATTAAAAAAATAAAAAATTGCAATTATTATTTGTAATTATAAAATCCGTGTCGATTCAGTTATTTATACTTAGGATTCACTTCTTTTCTACATCGCGGCCTGAAAAATTTCACAACGCAATCTCATTAGCGACGTCGCAATTGCATTGCAATTAAAAGCTGTTACCTCTGTCTTGACGTGATCGAACAATTTCCACAAGTTCATGATCTTCACTTTCATCTTGCTCGTAATTGAATTTTTTAAGGGCGAGATTTTCTCTTTCTTATCCTCGCTCTATATAGTATATTTTGTTTTTATACATATACACTTTTCAATTTTTTTGACAAACAGTGTATGTTAACAGTTATTTTCCTATTTGAACTAAATGACAATACTTTTGTAAATTATCCCGGTTGATACTTTCGTGAGCATTTTTTAATAAGGAAACACAGAGGAGCACTTTTTCCGAACCGCACCAATCAGGTCATTGGGCCTGCAATAGCACTGGGAATACTAGATTGTACCGCATCACTCGACGTGCTCCTTGTGCAATTCGTTTCCTGGCGCATTCTGTTACTCTCATGCGACCACTGCATTCTATCGACATCGCCGCTATATCGCGCAGGGATTTAAGGCATAAGTAACATATGCGTGTTTCCGCAAGTACTTATGTACGTCACGCTTCTTTCGCGTAATGAAGGCAAACAGTTCGGACGGACACGCTGAAAAGGAACGGGAATAAAAGGATTCTTAGGATATCGATCTGCGTAAATTACGACTTTACTTTGCACATCTATATTTAATCCTAGAATGCTAATATACGTAAAAGAATCAAATTACAAGTTTTATTGTACATTAAATTTATATAAGCATCTTGATACATAAAAAAATGGCAAAGAAAATTATTTGATTATATAAATACGATGGCATTGCTACAATTGATTGAATTATTACTTCGTTCGCTAATAAAATTAAGCGACAAAATTTTCGGTGCAACACAGTTGTATAGCGTGATTCTTATCGGAAACATCAATGAAAAGAATTATCGCAAAAAGATTATCACATTATCGCATTTTTGTATAGCGAACTATCGATGGCTCGGTGAAACGCCGGTAAAATCGATCACGAGTGCTGGCCACGAGTGCTGGCAGAAGCTCTCAGGTATTGCTTGGTCAAGGGAGCGATTACGTCAAAGGTTTTATGACATCATTCGAAGCATTATTAGCGATTAAATGTTCAGAAGCTTGAACGCGATAGTTCTGAATTTTTTTTCCACTCGAAAATGGAAACAAAAAAAAATGATGATCAGTTAAATAGAAGGAAAAGAAGACACATGCTACAAACGTTTCGCGAAAGTACGACGCTCTCCAGCGTATCCTCTATCATTTTTCAATGATCCCTCATCGCATATTCCATCGTGCTAGATTAGCGAGGTTCGAGCTTAATCAGACGGAGAGCGCACACATACGTTTCTCGCAACACACGGGTCCTTGTGCCTTTTTTTCGCAAACGTCAGCAGAGACGCTTTCGGTGCAGGAAAGCCGAGAAGTAAGCAGGAAGGAGAGAAAGAGAGAGAGGTGAGATTGGAGTGGTATGTCGAAGAGAGTGAGAAAGAAAGAGAGAAGAGAAGAAAGAGGAAAGGGGGGCTCCGCGAGGTAGTTGGAGACTATGCACGATAAGCACGCTTCATCCCCTTCCTCCGACCTCAGGCTGTCTCTCTGCGTCTTGCATGCTCGACTCGGCCAGAAGTGTTCACTCACACCACCGTCTTCTGCCTATTATTTTCGACCGATTGCCGATTGTCGTGCAACTGCCGACGTAAAGATTCTTCTTACAGACGGATACGTATTTCGGGATTATTGCGGACGAAATTCGACTGTACGTTACTCGATTCGCGATTGGTGACATGATATAATCATCTACACGGAGCAACATCAGAATTATTTAGAGCAGTTGTAATTAAGATGCTGTCGAAGAGAGAGATGAATCTCAAAATAATTAAGATATAATTAGGAGATGCATTCATCAAAGTTGAAAATAAAATATAATTAGAATATAATTAGGCGATGCATTCATCAAAGTTGAAAATAAAATATTAGACGAACGCGAAAATATACAAGTAACAAGACCTGGCCTTTATTACAACTCCAAATCGACAATATATTGATGTAATTTTGTGCTTTTTATATATTTTTTACAGATGTTTTATGAAATTTGCTACTTATATTGTCTTTTTAATTAATTCTATTTGCTACAATAAATATCGTGCTGCTAATTTATAACAAAGTGAAAAATAAGTATATTATTCATGATAATTGTAACATATTATTGTGCAATTGAATATATTATTATGATATTTTGTGAAACATACTTTTTTACCATTTATTCTAAAGTAAACAGAAATTGTTATTTATCATATATTGATAAATTAGAAATTTTTTCTTGAAACAAACATTGATAAAATAGATAACGTCAGTTACTTCGAGTTTCGTAGTGCTAAACTAAGGTGTCGCAATCTCAAAACCAAAGCGGTGCTGCTACCTATAAAATAATTATTGCTTTCTGCTATAAATAAACTCGACGATTTAAATTATTTTTGTAATAATTACTTGGAACAATTTGTATTATACTTTTTAATTTAAACATTTGACTATTAAGAGCTGAATTATATCAAAAAGTAAGTTCAATTTAGCGAATTATTTTCTTTACTTGTTGCTTCTAACAAAACAGCTGATTGATTTTAATTTCTCTTTCGCTATTGTAATGTTTCCTTGTTTTACATAAAGCATAAATATACATATATTTAATTTTAAATGCAAAATAAAACTTAAACGGCTGGGTTTATAAATCGAAAAGCGAAGTTATTTGACGAAAGCTAGTGCTGAGCAATGTACATATATTAGCTTGTTAGATTGATTGCTTGAGTGGCAAGGTTATGTAAAAACGCGAATATCATAAACGTATCGAATGTGCACATACATCGAGGAGACGTACAGAGAAATGCGTAAAGAGAAATGGATTGAATATTTCTTTTTCACAATTAAACAGAATATCAAAATAAAGCGGTGCCAAAATGTCAACTACGTAGATGTTCTTAAAAAGTTAACTATATTTTAAATCTCTTTATTGCTCATTCAAAAGTTATTAACAAATTTATTCACAAAATAAAACTCTAATCTGATTTGACATTGTATTTCGCTATAAAATTTTATGACAAGGAAAATAGGATGGGAAATGACAACCAGGATATCAGACACTTTGATTAAATCTACCGAACAATTTATTCGATTATCTTGTTATTTTACAAAAATAATAATAATAAACAATAATTGAGAAAGCAGACATGAATTATGTAAGCTTACAAGAGAAAAAAAACATAAAGGAACGATGTTTCACAGAAACAATATATAGGCATTATACGATCATTCGTAAATTCTTTGACATTCTGACTTTAATTCTTCTTCGCTTCTTTCTTCTCCGCTTTCTTCTCCGCTTTCTTCTCCTCGTTCTGGAGCGCCGGTTTGCCGGTCTGCTCGATCTTGATCGAGCGCTCGTTCTGTGACTCCAGATTCTTCTTGGGCGCGTTGATGGTCAGCACGCCGTCCGATGACAGAGTCGATGTCACCTGATCGATATCGCACTGCTCAGGTATCAGGTATTTGCGCACGAATTGCCGGGAGATCCAGCCGTGCTCGTCCTTCTTCTCCTCGTGCTTGGCCTCGACCACCACGCTCTTGTCCACCACCTTAACGTCGATCTCCTCTGGCTTGAATTGCTGCACGTCCAGGATCACCTGGAACTTGTCTTTGTCCGCCTGCACGGTGGAGGTGCCGCCTTCTTCCCTATTACGCAGCAATTCACCCCAGGGTCGATAATAGAGCACAGACGACTGTGGTCTCGGACGCCGGTCGAGATAGGGTTGCATAAACTGCTCGAGGATAGTTGGATGCATCAGCTGATTCTGATGAATGCCTTGGCCGAAGTCCTGGTCGAAAAGCCGGTGAGGACGGCCCAGGTCCTCCCACCAGTCAGAGTACAGCAGCGGTATCAGAGACATGCTCTCTTCTGGATTTATCAAAACACGAAGTCTCGAATAAAATTGACACTTCAATTCGCTGAGATGATTCGCTGAGCCGATTTGTTTGCTCGTTGACTTGCTTACTCGTTCGTTGATCTCACGATCGCTTTCTGTCGACTGTTGCTAACGCCGGCGCGCCACGCTTATTTATATCCGGCCGGTCGGCGTTATATATGTGTGTGTGTGTGTATGTGTGTGCTACCGAGGCGGAGTGGTTCGCGCAACTTCGAGAATATTCGCAGACGATCTGCACAACGCGACGATTCGAGAACATGCTTGCAATTTCGCGATTCCGTGCAATGCATTTCAGCCACGATTTTTTTTTCATTGGTTTATCTTTTTCTCGCAAATCCGCACGTTATGGAACAAGGACGTTATAGATCAAGAACGGCTTCTTTGTGTGTATACGAGTTTCGAGACGGCAGATGTACGACGGAATAGTTTCCAACCGTTCTTCGCAACAATAGACTCCGGGGATTGAATTCAATTAAAACAACCAGTCCTGAATTTTTATGCTAAATTTATCGAAAAATTTAATGTTATGAGTGTCGAATTCATTATCATTACAAATTGCACTGGCAGTATTGTTATTCTTTTCGAGAAACGTCTGCGCAAAAATTCTATTCTTTTCTACATGTTCTGCAATTCATGCAATTTGATGCTATTTTCGTTTACACAGATGTGCAATTAAATGTGCGCTCGGCTGAACACGAACAGTTATTTAAGAATCTTCAACAACGTCAACACCCAATAGTTTCTAAAAGACCATAACGTCGTTTTTTTTTCTACTCTTGCAGTGTTTGTTTCCGATTTTTCCTGAATTTTTGAATATCTTTTTTAAAAATAAATTAGTTAAATGTAATTAGCATAATATTGATTAATAAATCGCGGATTACACAACGTTTTATTTTATTTTGTATCTGTCGCGGATTCTCTCTAGAATTTTTGCGAAACATCTGAGCTACTTTTACAGACCGACAATCTTATGAATACATTACTTTATTAACGCTACTACTTAAATCATTCTTTAAAATACCGTGGAAAACATTACCGCCTGTGGAAACGACCGATAAATTTTTTTAATCGCGTTGCGATATCCTTGAATTTGATGTAAACAGCGCGACGATTATTCAACGGTGAACTTCTCTGTAGAATATTGCAGAGTAATCGCGAATATAACTAAAATTTCGTAGAAGAATTTGTATCATTTTGTTGTCATTTTGTTTTTTAAGATTGATAAATTTTAAACCGATAAATTACGCAAATATCGCAAAGAACGATCTAGATTTTTCTACCGCACTGTATAGCCGCAGGTGACACGTATTAATGTTATTTAAAGTATACGTGTGCGCAGTGCATTGGAAGTGTGATAAGCAGTGTATTAAAATGATAACGTGTAAAATCAACAATTGACGTTGCGAGCACTTCTAGTTTTATATGGCAATTGTTATCCAAAAAAAAATGTGTTGACTTATTGTTAGACGCTTCATGAATTTTTGAATGTTATTAAATATTAAATTAAATATTAAATATAAACGAATATTTCGCAAATAAGACAAAATTTTATTTCGAGAACTAACGATGACTCAGTACACTATATTGCGAGTAAATTTAATCTGATCTTGGCAAAGCTACATTTTTGAAACACATTCATGATAAATCGTGGGGATCAACACCAGTATAGCGCTATGTTCTATTTTTATTTAATGCAAAATCGATCTTTCTTGCGACTAGAATTTTCTTTTCTAAGCTGGACGTATTGATGACTTGTTATCTTTACATCGTACGCCCCATTCGCATTATATTTTCATTGTTTACATCGCCGGGCTGAATTATTTAGCAGAAATTTAATGTGAATATGCCACTTGGTATGCTCAAAATGATCGACAAATTAGCTGAAATTGGCTGTGACACAGGGTGCGCAGCGGTTATTGCGTAGGTCAGTGCTACTATATATCCGAGAGTTCTAATGTTTATTTAACGCAGAGAGAATAATCTAGAAATATATCGCTGATTAACGCATGTAATTAATTGAATCGATAATTTTTTTTTGTTTCAGAAAAATATATTTGCAATTATTGTTTGATTAACACCAAAGTTTGATAAACGCGTAGAAGACAGTTATCGAAAGACAATATCTAAAAGATATTATGTCATTTACAGATTTTTGACATAAAATTTTTAAGTACCTTTTAAATTTGTATCTCGTCTTCGAGTGGTTTGTGATAAATTTGTTAAATTTTACGTGTTTATCGAAAACGTTCATTAAAACGTATCAGGTATAAGGATCATGCGCATTCGAGTAAAGTCGCAGTTATCGAACGTTGTGGAAAATTCTAGTCGCATGCGCGTAATGTGTGTTCTAGAAAACGTAGAAGTTACGAATGTCATATATACAAGAAGTACAACAATACAGAAGATCCAAGAATATGGTTGAGAGAATAATTGCATTCAGATATTTTATTTACGAGAATGTTTCAACTTATTTACTATCTGCGTAATTAATGATAAATAAAAGTGTGCTTATAATTGCCTTTTTCTTATACTCGGGGAGAACAACAGGTCTAAGAAACGTCTAATAGACGTCTATAGACATCTAATAGACGTCTAATAGACGTCGATAGACGTCCCTGGGTATCTATCGATAGCTATTGGTTGCAATTTCGGTATGATAAATAATTTCGATTAGTTCTTTCAGGAACTTGAAAACTCAATGTTTAAAGTAATAGGATTTTATTTCACTATTAATATAAAATTACAATCGCAAAATATTCATTATATGGTTTTAATAAACATAGATTTAATTAACTATTTTATGAATAATATCAAACGCTCTGGAATGACTACAAAGGAAATAACATAGAAATACATTATTGCACAGCAACACTCTTTATTTAAATATCAATATAAAATTACAATTGTAAGGAATTCGTGGATTATTACGGCACGGATTCGTAATTTATCCGATAAATATAAAAATGTATATCTGTCAACAAAGGAGGAACAACAATCTCGCACGTGAGAATGAATATAAAGTGCAAAATAGCGTATCACATAATTCGGTAATCCAGTCTATTATTTCTCGGGTTTCGCGGTCTCCTGCTGTGCCTGCGTCGTCACCTCCTCCCGAACCTCGTTGTCCTCCACCGTTTTCTCGGTGGTCGTGTTAGCTTCAGTCGTGCTAGCTTCGGTGCGATTTTCATCCTCGCTAGGCCGAAGTGTCGGCTGCCCGATGAAGTCGATCTCTGATCACCCTCTCGTCCTTCGGCTCCTCCGGTTTCAACGGCGCCGTAATCGTCAGGATACCGTCGCTCGATATCGTGGACTTTAGCTGATCGACGTCGGCGCAATTCGGCAACAGGTATTTCTGCACAAATTGCCGGGAGATGCTGTCGTGTTCCTGCTTCTCCTCGTGCTTTGCCTCGACGACCAGGAAGCGGTTCACGATCTTCACGCTGACCTCCTCCGGCTTGAACTGTTGCACATCGGCGACGATCTTGAAAGTGTCGTCATCGACGGTGATGCTCGATCTTCCGACGTTCTGGTCCAGGTTTAACCAGGGTTTGTAGAAATCCAAGACTCCGCGATCGTAGACGAACGGGTAGGAACGATCGAAGGCGCGCAGCAGTTCTCCAGGTTGAGGTTGGGCCGTGAGATCGAAATTTTCGTTCATCGCAGGCGGATAACCAAGGTCGGTCCACCAGGTTGTTAACAGCAACGGCAAGACAGCCATGGTAGGCATCGATGAGTTTTCTTCTTACTTCGAATCGACTCTCTCGTATTACAGCAGATAAAAACGTAAGCAGCCGATCGGTTTGCACAACGGAGACGTTTTGTGTACTCGCACGAGAATTTTACAACTGCTGCTATGGTCGTCGCAACCGCTATTTATGCCAGATGGATTTTGGCTTGGTGGGGGAGAATGATGTGTATACGGTAGGGCTTTGAGAACTTACCGCGGATGGAAGTTGTTTCATATGCAGCTAAAATTGATCTCCGGCAATCTGCACAACCCTCTTTCCGCGCAATCAACGGTCGACGATGAACGGAGATGCGCTCAATTATCCTTTCTTTTTATTGTTATCGATAGCTATCAACTCGAATTTCGATTTTAAAATTTCGATACTCTTTTCGAAAAGTTTAAGATGTTTTCGGATCGATTATGTACTATCATTGAGAGTTTTATCATTATCTTATTAAAGATTTTATATTAAAAGAAAAAATCTAGAATTCTTATTGCAAAAAGAAAGACTGTCTCACAAAGTGCTTCAAGAATTGAGCCACGTCAGTGATTAGAGTAAAAAAGTATGACGCAATCCGTTCGCGTTTGTTAATTAAGCATATTATTAGGATGATGTGGAAAACGGAATCAGTACGATGACCGAATTGACAGCTGTTAAAGTCACAGCGACTGATATAAAATTATTTATTTTACAATGATGCAATCGTAATGATTTTTATGTATCATTAATCATCATACATAGAACAACGAAAGAAATATGACACGCATATGTTATTAGAAAACTGCAATGTTGATTGCACATTAATAATCTGAAAATTATACAGAGTTGCAGATATTTTTATGTTACCTATAATTGAAAGATATATTTTAAAATTAATATTAAACTTTGGTGTTAAAAAACGCCTTACATAATTCCATGAACCGTGTAGAACAGTAATAATATATCACTCAGAGCGAGTACATTTATTAATGTTCAAGGAAACAATATGTTTCATCGTTATTCTTATCTGCAGAAGCGCAGTTTATTTATAAAGAAGTTTTATGTTCTCTCATTGAATGTTATCTAAACATTATTGCTCACTCACATTTTGAACATCTCATCCATTTCTCAGCACATATATTTCTGATTCACGAATAGCAATAAACATATTCATGCGTGATATTGTAAAATTCTGATATTTCAGAATGATTGATTACGAAGAATAATTTTTATTAATTTTGTTTTTACAAATATTTCCATCATAAATTGTTGCGAGAAAATTCCATCATAAATCATTCCAAGTAACACGAAATGAATATTTAATGAAATTCATTAAAAATACTATATTTGATGTTAATTATAGTTTATTAACGTGAAACTTTTAATATAAATATAAACAGAAATAAAGAAAGGAAGTTAATAATTTTTACTTTAATTACATTGTTTGAAATATACAATTATAAGAAATAAAATATTTAAATGGATATAAAAATAACTTTGAAATTTTGCACACATATTTATCAAGCATTCCATTTCAGAAACACAATTTTGAAGTGTTATACTTGAAAACCAGTTGAAAACAAGATCACGTGTACTTTTCTCGTTAAAAGTAATATTCCCTCCGCACTTTTTACACACCACATAGATCTTCCATAAATCAACAGTCTTTATCTCCTCCAGATGAATTTCTATTGTCGAGCTGTAGAAACTTGTTCGACCAGCTATACAAAGGCATAACTGACTAACAAAAATAGATTCTTCTTTTCTTTGCCAAAAATGCATTACCTGATCTGTCGAAAGTTCGTAGTGTAACGCGCTGAGTCCACACATCTGAGCCGCTTGACCTACTCGACCAAAATTGCTATAACTTCTACAATTTTTCAAATTTCAATGTAAAATTTGTACATATTCTTAAAAGTACGTACTTTAAGAAAATTAAAAAAAATTCGATTTTTTTGAAATTTTACAGTGGCTTTCCGCCTTAAAATATTAAATTAATTTTTTTTTACTTTAAATTTATTTTAATGATGCAATATAAAATTGTAATATAACAGTTTCATCATCTCATGACAATTTCGCGAATTTTCTGGAATATTCTATCCACTTTCGTGATGTTTCTGCACGCTATATAGGCAACTACTATGCGCGTATATATACGGTTCACCGAGCGCGCAATCTCAGTACAAAAGTGACTAACGTACGGGTCGGTTCGTAGTGCATACACGGCGATTACGTCAAGCTGTTAGAAGCACATTTTACGAAAACAGATCAAGATATTTGTGAATCCGTGAACGACAAAATGAGCAGATACAGAGCGACGCTGATTCCAAAATTATTTTCCCATTGGTGGGAAACTTTGGATCGACCGCATCGCTTATTAGACCAACGATTCGCCATGAGATTGCATCCCGACCACTTCTTTGGACCGTCGATATTTGACAGATTTGACAAATTTGATAAACAAATGGTAAATAACTTCTCTCGATCGTGGAGTGAGTTTCTGCGGGAACACGAAAACGGATGGTCCGTCGTAAAGAACGACGAGGGCAAATTTCACGTGTCCCTCGATGTGCAACAATTCAAACCCGACGAAGTCAACGTCAAAGTGATAGACAATATCGTGGTCGTTGAAGGTAAGATGATTTTGAACTTTGATTATTAAAATCCCGAAATTTCTTTGCGATATTCCGCTTGTCATCCCGATTTCGTTATATGAAAAAGTTGCATCATTCTCTTTAACGATGTAGAAACTACTAAAAAATCAAATAGATATTTAAATTTCGATATTAGAAATATTAAGAATTAATATACTTAATTAATATAATTTACAATTTTTAAATGTGCAATGGTTTTTCGATTTTATCGTATCTATAAGAGTGCATGTGCGCATGTTTACAATGACGAAACCGGCTGATGCAACACATTGTCTACTTTACCTGTTCCTATATCTCAGGATTTTATCGATTTTACTGCAAGCTTATATTCATTCAACAAACCTTTGTATCAATATCTTTACATTATTTTGTAAATTATTTTTTTTCAACAAATATTTTCAATTATTACTGAATATTACTGAATTTATGTTTTTATTGCAGGCAAACATGAAGAAAAAAAGGATGAGCACGGATTAGTCTCTAGACATTTCGTCAGGAAATACATGGTTCCAGAACAATGTGATCCGGAGAAGATAATGAGTACACTCTCTTCGGATGGTGTTCTGACAATTACCGCGCCAATGAAGCCAGAAGCTGTAGAAGATAAAAAAGAAAGAGTCGTTAACATCGAACACACTGGGAAGCCAGCCGTGGAAAATGAGCCAGAAGTGAAACAAGCTGCACAAAATTAAAAAATAAATAATACTGTAGCTTATTCATATATGCATAAGATGTCATTGTGTATATCTTACATTGTAAAAATTATTTCATCAAATGTAGAAAATGTAGTTTAGAAATGTAGTTTAGTATTGTAATTATTACAATTGAAAATATAGTTCCTATATAAAATATAATATATAAGGTTTGTATTTTTTATCTTAATAAAATTTTTATTTAATAAAATTTTTATTTTATTTATTAAAATTTTTACTTAATAAAATTTTGTCAACACGAAAGAAGTTTTTTAACTTGTTTATGTCAGTCGGAAATGAAAGATTATTACTTTTAATTTAAACTTTCCCCACTTTCTAGATTTCTTTTAAAATTAAACGAAAATACTTTACAAAAGAAGTAAGCGGTAAGATAATAGACGACTAGATGATTCATTTTTTATTATAATCCTGCGTCCCTGCAATGAATTTAATGATATTCGGGTTAATTCTTTTCTCCTAATTAATTAATCTATTTATATTTATTTAATAATGAAATTTTCGCGACAAATAAACTTATCTTGCCTATTGTAGAGACATTTTTGAAGAACGATTTAACTTATCTTTTTAAGTCAACAGTTTAATAAATAAAAGTTTTGGATCAAAAATAACATTATATGGCATAAGTATAATGAATGATAAAAAAATAAAAGTTGTGTTTAAAATTTACAATTTTTAATATTTATAGTTATCGATATAAATTATATCATTTTTTAAATTAGATATTTGCATAAAAGGAGAGTAATTTAAAATAATAAAAGTACTAATGATAACAGATAATTTCAAGCAATCTTTATTTTAAAGAGAAGTTTTATTTTAAACTGACATTGGTAGAATTAGTATACATCGATTCTCAGATTTAAAATAAAAATTAATTTTTTTTATAAAAGATAAAAATTTTTGTTTTCTGATCTACATGTATATCTCTAGCTTTAAATATAGAAATACGTAAAAAGGAACTTTAATAATGGAAAAAATTGATGAGTATTATTGTATTTAAACATATTTTGCAATCTTAACAATTATTTCACTCATACAAGCTACTAACAAAGTTTCTCTTTGATTTTGTGAAAAATAATCTTCAAATAAATGCATCGTCATTGCATACACAAAGCTTAAGAATACTTTTGACATAATAGAATAATCTACAGTCTTATTCACATTGAGCAGACAATCTGTGCTGTAACAGTGAGTTTGTCAGATGATCACAGTGTAACGAACGATTTAATGATTGTTTTCTTCCTCACTTTATTTATATGTTTTTAGCTTTGTTGTTAGTATATGAAAGGCTTTCCAGTACACTCGATTCGGACCGTCTTCTCAATTTTGTCCTTCGGTGGTTGCTTGGACGCGATTGTCAGGATACCATCAGAGGATAGCTTAGATGTCAGCTGTTCGATGTTGCAATTCTCCGGCAATTCGCATCTCCTGGTGAACTGACGGGACACCAAACCGTGCTCGTCTTGTTTGTCTTCATGCTTGGCTGTGACGACGAGGTAATTATTCACGACTTTTACCTTAATTTCGTGCGGCTCGAAGTATTGCACGTCTAGTATCAGTTGAAAGTCTTTATGGATGGGATCTTTATGGATGGGATCTTTATGGATGGGAGGTTTATGTAAGAATTTTTTAACACGCTCATCAAAAATAGACTTTAAATCCGGAATAGCTGGGGACAGATGGGCAAAGAGCATTCGTCGTTGCTTAGAATTCGGTGCACCAAATGTGCCATGACCAGAATAGATCTTATTGACTTGTTCAGGTGGTTTTAGCGAGATCTGTCGACGAAGCTGTTCGTCAAAATTCTGATTCGACGTATCTTTAGAATCGGTGCAGGATTTTGCATCCTCCAAATCGACAGAGTGGGATGGTAAGTCCTGAGAACTCCTAGACATTTTGCAGGATTTTCTTGACGTTAATTTATCAACGATATTGATTTAACACTAAGTTAGATGCCGTGAAACGAATTCGCTTTTATAAGTGTTAAATGGACTTTAACTCACTCAATGCTAACTGTTCGCTTGCTGAGAGGATACTAATTTTGAGCTAAGTTTGAGCACATGAACTGGTTTCGAACCGATATAAATGTATCACGACGCATGCGTCGAGCATTGTTCCGATTATTCGAGAATTGTCCACGAAGTATCTCGTACATTCCAATAAGAGAACAGCTGTGGTCAGACTTCACACTGAATGAATTATTTGACATTTGATAGTAGAAGCTATTTTTTAATGAAATAATATAGATAAATCTTGTAAATATATAAATTTTTTCTATAGAAAGTTTATGATAGTGAAGCAATTTACTCTTAATATATAAAGTAAAATAGTAAATATATTAACTTTTTGATAGTAAAACTGCTTTGTGCAGAATAGATTTATTACTATAGCAAAATCATTTGCAGATTCATTAAAACGTTAATTAAATGCCAGTGTTTTTAACAAGTCTTCATATAATACTTAACAAAATTTTTTTAATAATACGAAATATATTGTGGCAATATACTTTTATATTTTTTCTCTGTATAAATCTTTTATAAGTTAATCGTTTATTTTCTAGATTCATCTGTTTTTTAAAAGCAGCGGTTTCGCCATACTCCGTTTTAACCAATCAGTAAAACGTTGAAGATGTCTAGACTCTGACTCGACGATTCTAGCAATCTCTAGCAGTTCAAGCAGTTTCTAGATCTTTCTAGATCAAAAGCACGAAAGACGATGGACTTTAGATTTTGACAGTTTATTTTTATATTTGCTACAATAACATATAAAATACTTACAAAATGACAACTAACAAAAAGTGGCCCAACCGTAAATTAAAATGTGCGAGTCAAGCGGAAATATTGCGATCTCATCAACGAGATGATGATTTTGTGAAACAACTGAGGGAGAAACTGACTGAGATATTGCAAAATTTTGGAATACACAGAACGTTGTTTCAATCCGACATTCCGCTTAAATTATTGTACTTTATTTTTACATCAGGCATGGGTAATCAGACATTAGGCGAGGAGTATACTGGTATAGTACAAGCCAATCTAGAAGCACGCAAAGTTCCAACACTAACTGTATGTTTTGATTGGAAAATTTGCCATAATAAACTTTTCCAGTATTTTTTTTACTAAATTCTGAATATTTTTCTCATTAGGTAAGAGTGTTAGCTGCAATTTTGGAATGCTTTGGAGAGAAAATGCTGCTGAAATTACTGGGACGTTTGCAAGTACATGTGAATCATCCGCATAGCGAGTTGACACCAAGAGCAACCGTGTTCTTGAATATTCTCTTGTCCAAGCTGCGAACAATGATACCTATAATTGTACTATTTCACAAAGGAATATTTTACATATATGGTAGATACTATAGTCTAGGTAAAAGAATTGCTGGATTAGATTATGCAAAGGTATGCAAGTTTAAGTTTATGATAAATACAACTTTACGATATCATTATATCTTATGCTTATTCTTACAAAATATAATTTACAGGTTTATGGTCGTCGACCAGTGGATACTATCAGCTGGGGATTGAGGTTACTGGGAGTTGCTACATTAGTACAATGTCTACTAAGAACTTGGCAGAGTAGTCAGATGCAAGATGATACTATTACAGATGTAACTAATGGAAAATATATCAGTCACAACTGTCGATTGTGCCTCGAAGCACCAGCAACAACTGCAACGTTATGTGGTCATTTGTTTTGCTGGAATTGTCTTAGTGAGTGGTTACGCGTTAAGCCGCAATGTCCGTTTTGTAGGGAATATGTGCCACCATCAAGAATTATACATGTGATGAATCTATAACTTTTTGTGATAATGTGATTTATATTCCTTGAATGTATATACAATGTAAAAACTTTGTATCATGTTGTTATAAATAATTAAGTATATTTTTAATATAAACAAATCATAATTTATCTTTAAAATGGGATAAACTTATTCTATACGAAAGTTATTTGTCATGTACATTTTTGAAAATTTTATAGAACATTAATTTGAAACTTTTCATTAAAGTCTATTTCATTTATAAATTTATGTAGACATTGCAATGGCTAATTGATTTTTATCTTATTAACAATGAATTAAAATTAATCTTTCAAAAGAAGTAAAAAGAAACGAAACAATAATATATTTATCTATAATATGTAAATACAAAAATATTAAGTTTTATTTAATTATTTGTATATAGTGTGCTACATATATAACAGTCCACTTTTGACAAAAACAATAATATACATATTATATTATTTTCATTTTTATAAATTGCAGATTATAAAATTATCAATTGTACAAAGATATTATTAACAATGAATTTATGCTCCTAGACAATCGTTCAACAACATTGTAATCATTAGGATGTGCGTTGGGTGGAAGTCATTCCAACAATGTTTCCGATATATTGACCAAGACCAGTTGATTCATCCTTTAATCGAAATCCATGAGGTCCGTAAGCTTTATAAAATATGTTTCGAAGACAATGTAACCGTTCTCTACGTCTAGAATCAAATGTGCGATATAACCTGCAGTTTTCATAAAGAAAATTGAAATTAAATGCCGTTTAATCGAGAAATTTACACTAAAAACTTACCGTGTAGATAACACAGAAGCAGAAGATACGGAAACAGAAGCTTCGTCCTCAGTTTTGTTTTTTGATCCTTGTAATGTGCGCATAGACATGCAAGTTGCGCATAAAGATTTGCAATCTGAGTCAGAAGTCAATACATTTTCCGTATGTGAAGCATTAGCAGTTGTGGAGCCGCATAAACTACCAGTCCCTGTTACCAATTGCCACGAATCGCACGAAGACATCGAGTCGTTTCGTTGTCGAACACGAGAGTTATGCGGTATAGGAACGCCGATCGGAGAAGTACGATTTGCATATAAAGATGAGCGCGGCCCTTGTGCGGCAGCGCTTTCTTTATTTGGAGATACAGTAAGTACTCCAGGTACAATATTCCTGTAATATAAATATATCTTAAAAAATTCGATCACAAACTAAAACAAATAAATGTGCGATTAATACACGTGATCAATATTTTACAGAAATCTTTGAAAATAAATAAAGAGAAACTTACATGTTTCGAGATTCATCCTGAATGTCCAAGAGTTCTGGAAGAAATACCGCTGGTGGATCGCTATCTACACTGCTTTGTTCAATAGAACTGGATGAACTGTTCCTTGGGCTCGAATTAGAGTTCATAATCAATTCGAACGACTCACCATCGATAACGAAAGTTTCCAATTGTGAGTCGCTACGTCTCGATATTCTTTCGTAACGTTTGTGTATACTAAAATGTTCGTTTTCAATGTATTTTAAGAAATCAAAACAGAAGAAGAGTATTTCTTCCCCCTTGTTGAGTCGGTCCGCTAAATCGTGTCCGAAAAGCATCCAGTCATAGGCGATAGTGTAATAAAGTAGTTGATATGAATTTAACGATGTATGTATCACTCCATCAGCCCACAGACTAATTCTCAGTAATGAAATAAATAATGGTGTGCGGTCCCAACCTGTAAAGGATATATTAATCTCCTTAAAAGGTACATTTTTTTTTCAACATTTTAATATAATGTGTTCTCTATACGCACCTGAGATACAATGAATCAATAAGCCACTACTACTATCACTCAAATATCTCAATACTAATCTTAAATAATTCTGTGTTAATTTGACTAGATCCCATTCTGTATATCGATCCCAATTGATCCGTAATTGGCTGGAGATTGGGTCTTCAGGTACGCAGATTGGCGCATCTATGTAATTCTGATGCCAGTCAAACATCAAACCCTTCGATCGATAATCTTGGTCTCGGAATTCCTTGAAGAATTCGCATCCAGGATATGGCAGTGAAATGAGATTAAATTGGTTGTACCTCCTTTCCTGGTCTACCTTCTCCGATGAAGTTACACTGAGAACAAAAGATTTTTCTGTTTAAGGACTTCTAAAGATGGATCCGCAGAAGAAAATAGACTGCTCATGTTAAGAACTATTATTATGGAACTTTACTGTGTCTGCGAAGATGGACATCTTATTGGAATAGTTATTGTCTACATATGCAGTTATCTTTTGCAAGCTACATATCATCCGAAACATCATTACAAAGTGTAACTTTTACCGTCAGGTTTGTCACACATTTATAAATATTTAACAAAACAAATAGTCTTAATATAGAGCCGTCTTTTTTTCTTCTGCCTTTATCATACAGATTATTTCTTTCAAACTATAATACTGATGTTTTTTTAATTTACAGAACAAAATTTAATGATTCCACTTGTTTCTTCTTTTCAAATATTTGGTCTATAAAACGTAGCACATAAATACAAAAAATAAGATATTATATATCACGCTTACGTCATCCCATATTTAATTTTCTTCTTCTCAACCATGAAGTCAATGATGGTTCCTACATTAAGAGTCCTCAGAAGTTCTATGTCATTGTGTCTGACTTTATTTTTCAAGTCAATGATTGATTCTTCCTTGAGTAGACTTTCGTCTACCCGTGGTACTGGTTCTGTGGTGCTAGCGTTGCTGCTTATAGCTATACTAGATAGTAAGAAATCTAATCCAGCTCTTCCAAACATTTCTGGACCACTGGATAACGTTGCGGATCTGCATACATGTCTACCCTTGTAAAGTATTACTGGAATTGGGAATCTTGAACGACATCTGGCGAATCTTGACTGTGTTATCAATTTCTTGAGCTTATTCCTTAAATGTACATTCTCGTACATTGGCGGTGTTGTATCACACTTCTTTGGATTATGAAGTTTTTCATGTTCTAATATTACAAGATAGCTAGGATAATGGGAACAAAGGTCACCTGCACTATTGTCAATTGTAGAATATTCATAATCAAAGGCTGCCAGTAACATACATCTTTGCATGATTTCCTGACACTAAAAATATTTGTTTCATTAATTTAAAAAAAATTTAGTACTTACATTCATAATTACAGAATATATTTGTGATAATTACTGTAACATCTGCATCCTTGGTCCGATAGGTATTCTTCGTGAAGTATGTAATAAGATTTCGTAGATTGTCTATATTGATTTCAGTCATGATTCGCTATGTCTTGGGCTAGATGTGTGATCCCCAATTTGCCATAGAAATTGATTGTGAGAAATCTTCCCAAGAGGAGGCACTAATTTCTTATTGTAGTTATAACTAAACTCACAAGGCATTAATTGCCAATATTTTACATTGCATATACATAAACAAACATGAAATATAAGATATGTGCATACAACACTGCAAAGTCAAAATTAAATTCCTCTCTTCGTAATTCATCTTCGAGTGTGGGTGTGATCGAATCCTTTATATATGCACAATCAATTATTATTATTTCTATTATATAAATAATAGCTTCATTCATCACACATAAAACATTATATTACCTTTTGGAAAGTATATTGCCAAAAGTATAAGACAATATACTTTGGAAAGTATATTGAATTCTCAAAATATTTTGAAATGGCCTTGAAAAACGGTGAGCCAGCGAAATTAAAAATCTTTGTATTGTAGACTATCTGAAAGAAAAAGATATATTTAAACTAGGTTTGCTCGACGACAAAGATCATGCGATGCAGTACATTTATATTTTTATCACACAGACACAAAACGTTATATTTTTTTCAATGTATATTACTATATGTTGAGATATATCTTCGAAATTTTGATTACTGTGACCTCGAAAAATTTGTGTTGTAAACATATGAGATTGCTCGCGCATTTTGCCAATTGGAACGTGTCATCGTCGTTTTTATTCAAAATATGCAAAAATTTGCATGCGTAATTTGCATTTAATTTACCTTTTCTGCACAATCGGGAATACAAAATGATTTTGCACGTCTCAGTGTGTTTGATTTTTTCGCAGTGTCACTTACGAATCGTTCGTATGCGATATCGCACAATGTCTTATCGCGGTCACATTTCCGTGTTTCTTATTCTTCTTTATCCTTTTAAATTTTAGCCCTGGACTGAGTAGTACAGTACCACGCTTTTTCTGTTTTAAGGTTACCACCAATCTCACAAGCATGGACACAAGAAAATAACTGGACCGGCTGTGAAACAGGGTGTGCAAGTTCACTTTAAAAGGTGGGAGGATCAGCCTCAGCGACATCTTCCGTACGACATTCTGAAATATCTTTGTTTTTTTTTGCAGTTATCGACGATCCAGATTATCGACTAAAGAATGCGATATCGACCAAGCGCGACCAGGATTTTGTCGCATATGATGATATTATTTGAACACTCGGTGGCAGCACACGTGCTTTGTCGCCGACGAGATACACATGCGCAGTCAGTTTCAGATTCAACGGACCGGTGGAATCGAACTCGGCGCGGTTCGACGTTAAGAAACGTGAGAACGCGGTTCGTTTCTCAATATGGCGAGTGAGCGATGAGGGGCTGTCGCATCGTGCGTGCCTCGTCCGGCAGTGCTCGTGGGTTACAGTGACATTCGTACGATCGTGTCGTTGGCTGTAATATGTTGACGGTGTTCCGCGACGCGGGCTCGTGGCGCGTCGTAAGTCGGCGCGCACCTCTCGCGTGATCGTGAGGGGTCGACGACGGCGGCGGCGGTGGCGGCGGCGGCGACGACGACGACGACGACGACGACGACGACGACGACGTGCGTTCCCCAACGTGCGTTCCCCAACGTGGGGTGGAACAGCGATCCGTGCGACATTCGCGAAGAGGCGCGAGAGCGAGATATACGCGGCACGCGTGCGACCAGAAGAGCGCGCGGTCGGCGAAGGTAACAAACGACATGAGCGCGGTCCTCGGCAGCAGTGTCGGTGAAACGGCGTCGGCAGGCGCCCTCCTGGACTCCGACGTCGAAGGCATCCTCGAGGAGAAGAATCAGCTCATCAGCCGCCAGTATGCGGAGATCGAGAGGCTACAGCGCGAGCTCGCCGAGGTCGTCGGCGAACGGGACGCCCTGCTCTGCGAGGTGTCAAAATTCAAGTTCGAGCGCGAGATGACTGACCTGAAACGCCTGCACGATGACAGGTATGTGAACACCGCTCATTCTTTGCTTCCTCACAAAAAAAGGAAGGTTAGAGCTCGGATAAGTGTATGCTTTCCCCCTTTAACCGCGCTCTTTGTAATTTCCTGCAATTTTGTTTCCTTCTCTTTCTTTTCCCTCCAACGCCTGTATTTCATTTTATGTGCAAAAAGATATAACATGAAGCGGAGAAAAGAGCAGATCTGATTGCAATGGAATTAATTCATCATCGGGCGAAAGTCTCGCATTTTTTTTCATATTAATGGTAATGATAGTACGTTCACACGTTTTGCGTGCATTCTCTAGGCGTTTTACACTTGAAACGGTACAAAATAATGCGCGGCTTGGACGGAGAAAAAAATTGAAGTACGCAGAAAGTGTGGAAAACGCGAGCTGAAATAATGAGAGAGAGATTTGTCTCTTTCAGTCGCATTCTTTTACATTTTTCCTGCTCAAAATGGGGCGAGTATATGTATATAGTCAACTGCCATAAAAACTCGCAGTTTTCCTTGTGTAAATGAGACGGTGAAAATATTAAGAATTATAACACAGCACTTCTCGGATAATTATATATTAATGCTTTGAAAGTGAGAAAGAGAAGGAAGGCAGATGTAGAAATTGTGACAAAAAAAGGGCGGATCCATTTTTTTTCCGCACGTTTAGGCGCGTTTTTCCTACGACTTCTCGGTATTCAAACCAATTTATTTCGCGATTCGTATGCGTTTTATCGTCGTTCATTTTCCAGTTTTCACGATCTGCCATGGAGTTCTAGCGTGAATCGTGTTACGAGGGTGGTTCACCCTCGCGCGAGTTCCATGTCACGTTTTGCCCCCTCTCTTCGGAAAAAGCCATCAAATATCAATCATCGCGAAATTGATATTGCAGCAGCGATCGTGCGATCGCGACGCGTTTTCGCACAAATTTCACTGTCGTGTCTGACGGATATCGCGGGGCGAGTGACGTGATATCTGAAGCGAAGGGCGCAATTCGCGCGAAGCGGGATGTGCTTTTCGATGCTTAGATTAACTCTTTACTTAGCAATGTTACTCTCATGACTTTTCCGTTTGTTGTAGATTTTATATTTCATCCTTTTCCCAATTCAACAAATAGAGCATACAGATCATTTGCAAGAATAAAAGTAGAATCCAAAATATTTTTTGAACATTTTCAATTATCTTAGAATTTGCTCGATTTATAGAAAAAAATTAATAAATTTGAACGTTTACAGTAATTTATTGCAGACGATTTAATAGAATTAACGCGTCATCCAATGCATTATTTCTCTGAACAACTGTTTTCTTAGCTCTGAAACGATCTTTCTTATCGAAAGGAGAAGGTTATCATTTATCACATCGATTTTTAACATGATATCCACAAACGAGTTTTAAATTGCAGTCGTTATCAAAGTTTATTTAAGAAATTAATTTAAGTACGTTTATAATCAACTGTTTTTCTCGCAAAAGCTGATTTACTTCATCCGTATTTTTGCTTGAAAATTTCTCCGAGAAAAATGTGTTGATGATCTCAGAACAGAATGCATTATCTGGTAGCTTGGACACACCCTCTATTCGCTCATGCCGTTCAATAAAAATCATCGATGGCGCATCGTTATTAAGTTGAGAGAGTCGTTTATTTTATTCACTGCTGTTTACGTTGACGTTTCCCGGCGAATTTAATATGCTGCGTATGAAACCGTGACGGTAATGCGAGTTATTAAAGCGTACGTGAAACGTACAATTCCGCGCGTTTGTTCACCGTTATCAATGTACACGCGCGATACAGATAAATTGATAATCTACAATGGGAGGAGGATACCGCATTCGTGTCATCGAATTCCAGATAGAGGCTGCGCTAACCGTCTAGTCGCTAATGCGATACGCATTTATTCAACGTAAACATGAAATGTTGCGGAACACAATTCGCCGGCTCGCAGTTTATCTCGGTTCTTTTCTCATCGCGCAAAATGAATGCGATGGTGCAAACGGAAATTGACGGAGTGTATAGTAGGTATTTACTGAAATGGGATACTTAATCAACGTATTAATTAGCAGTGAAACGAAGCTAATTTTCAATGGTTTGTTAGCAACATTCTCCGAATCTTTCGATTTTAAGACAAAATTTTTCCATTCGAGACGCACGAATGGAAAAATTATGTACTACGAAAATTCCCACAGAAATTGTTATTTAATTTTTCCAATATTATTGTTCGATAATATCTCGACGAGAATTTGCGTTACAAATTTTTGTTATAAAATTGCAAAACTACTCAATATTTAAGTAATCTCTACATTAGCGATGTGTTTGCCTCCTTTTATGGATAACGCGTTCGCAAGAATAACAGATATTATTAAATTAAAACACGCTTGTCGGAAACGGATCGCATTAAAATCGTATCATACCTTAATAAGGATAACTCGAATGCGTACGTTGCATTTATAAGCGTGTATTCCCCTTAATGCATTGTCGTGAGAGTACGCATAGGGAGTAGCGCCAGACACAACGACCTGGTAAAACAAGCGCGCGTATCGTCCATCTGAAAAAAGCGTACGCGTACAACGCGCAAGACGTTCCCACACGATAGGCTCTCTAGGGAAGGATATAATCGCGATATGTGTCGCTACACAGTGCATGCTGTAATAATAATTACCAATTATATCAGGAATTACTTTGTAACTTCTCGCGCGCTTCCTCGTTATCAATCTTTGCCGTGACAGTTTACGGATATGTAATTTTCCCGGCGCATTTACTAACTCGATATTGTTTGCAACAATATAATCCTCATAAGCTTGTCGATATCAGCTGCCCGACATTGTAGATATTTTAATCGTGCTCTTAAATAATATGTAATATATTTATTATAATATTACTATAATATTTATATTATTATAATATTTACGTTTATTATAATTTATTATTTATTATGCGATAATATAATATTCATTATAATATTTTGGAAAATATCGAGAGAATTTGGAGGCTGCTAGTTTTAAACGGCTGCTGCGACTCGTCGCCTTTTTCGCGCGTTTTTAAAAGGAAAGAAATCACACCCGTAAATATAAGTGCTTAGTAATCGCGGCGACAAAAAGAGATTCTTTGGGACTCCCCAAAGTAGCGGCCTTGAAGCATCCTATTGACCTGCTAGAGGATCTCGCTTTGAAGCCGTCTAACTTTACGCTCGTGATTTAATACATCTGGGTTGCAGAACCGGTCGGTCCCGAACTCTTCGGAAACTTTTCATATGCCTGAGCTCTTTATCTCGCGGTACGCGCGAGCGCGCGAGCACGCCCAATTGTGAATGTCGCGGGACCGTGCACGAAACTACCGCCACTCGCAAAATGCTAATCGAGCAAACAGCGCGTGACGCAAATGACGTGCCTGATTTATTCGTCGAATGTCGGCGCGCTTGTACGGACCGTCGGCGATACACACGAGGAGGGGAGGGGGCCTCCAAAAAGGAGTTTGTCGTGAAAAGCGTTTCGCCGCGGTGCTTGACGGCGTATTTTCGTCCATAAAAAGGGATCGCGAACACGCTTCGATTACAATATTGCACGACGAGGTCAACCGGTCACGCCAAATATATCCAGCGCATAATTGCTCGCCCTCGTACGATCGGGTGGTTGAGAGATATTTGACACAGATTCGCGACCGCTCGCGATGCATCCGGTGTTGCCCATTGTTTTCCAGAAATTTATTGCGCCCGATGTCGAAGGGATTCAAATTTCAGACTCGTACGCGCGCGTTTGCGACAAAATCTTTCGCTATATTTCGATAAATAGTCGATTTCTAACACCTCGCGATGCTCCCACGTTTCATACTTGACTTTATCAGCTGCGCAAACAGTTCGTCTCGAATATTTCCATCGAATAAGTTCTCCCTTTCGCGTTTTACGTCAACTCTTACGTCAAGATCGACAAGATGTACTTGCCGCAAATATTTACCGTTTCACAAAGTAACATATCTAAATAAGAGTGATTATTCCATTCCATCGATTAATCGGAGAATTTCAATTTAAAATACGGGACGAGCGGATATTCGTAAACATCGATAAATTAAAATTATTTAAT